GAGCTGTGAGCTGGGACAGGAGCCCTGAGCTGGGACAGGAGCTGTGAGCTGGGACAGGAGCCCTGAGCTGGGACAGGAGCCCTGAGCTGGGACAGGAGCCCTGAGCTGGGACAGGAGCTGTGAGCTGGGACAGGAGCTGTGAGCTGGGACAGGAGCCCTGAGCTGGGACAGGAGCTGTGTGCTGGGACAGGAGCTCTGAGCTGGGACAGGAGCTGTGAGCTGGGACAGGAGCTGTGAGCTGGGACAGGAGCCCTGAGCTGGGACAGGAGCTGTGAGCTGGGACAGGAGCCCTGAGCTGGGACAGGAGCTGTGAGCTGGGACAGGAGCCCTGAGCTGGGACAGGAGCCCTGAGCTGGGACAGGAGCTCTGAGCTGGGACAGGAGCTGTGAGCTGGGACAGGAGCTGTGAGCTGGGACAGGAGCCCTGAGCTGGGACAGGAGCTGTGAGCGGGGACAGGAGCTGTGAGCTGGGACAGGAGCTGTGAGCTGGGACAGGAGCTGTGAGCTGGGACAGGAGCCCTGAGCTGGGACAGGAGCTGTGAGCTGGGACAGGAGCCCTGAGCTGGGACAGGAGCTGTGAGCTGGGACAGGAGCCCTGAGCTGGGACAGGAGCCCTGAGCTGGGACAGGAGCCCTGAGCTGGGACAGGAGCTGTGAGCTGGGACAGGAGCTGTGAGCTGGGACAGGAGCTGTGAGCTGGGACAGGAGCTGTGAGCTGGGACAGGAGCTGTGAGCTGGGACAGGAGCTGTGAGCTGGGACAGGAGCTGTGAGCTGGGACAGGAGCCCTGAGCTGGGACAGGAGCTGTGAGCTGGGACAGGAGCTGTGAGCTGGGACAGGAGCTGTGAGCTGGGACAGGAGCTGTGAGCTGGGACAGGAGCTGTGAGCTGGGACAGGAGCTGTGAGCTGGGACAGGAGCTGTGAGCTGGGACAGGAGCCCTGAGCTGGGACAGGAGCCCTGAGCTGGGACAGGAGCTGTGAGCTGGGACAGGAGCCCTGAGCTGGGACAGGAGCTGTGAGCTGGGACAGGAGCCCTGAGCTGGGACAGGAGCCCTGAGCTGGGACAGGAGCTGTGAGCTGGGACAGGAGCTGTGAGCTGGGACAGGAGCCCTGAGCTGGGACAGGAGCTGTGAGCTGGGACAGGAGCTGTGAGCTGGGACAGGAGCTGTGAGCTGGGACAGGAGCTGTGAGCTGGGACAGGAGCTGTGAGCTGGGACAGGAGCTGTGAGCTGGGACAGGAGCTGTGAGCTGGGACAGGAGCTGTGAGCTGGGACAGGAGCCCTGAGCTGGGACAGGAGCCCTGAGCTGGGACAGGAGCCCTGAGCTGGGACAGGAGCTGTGAGCTGGGACAGGAGCTGTGAGCTGGGACAGGAGCCCTGAGCTGGGACAGGAGCCGTGAGCTGGGACAGGAGCTGTGAGCTGGGACAGGAGCTGTGAGCTGGGACAGGAGCCCTGAGCTGGGACAGGAGCTGTGAGCTGGGACAGGAGCTGTGAGCTGGGACAGGAGCTGTGAGCTGGGACAGGAGCTGTGAGCTGGGACAGGAGCCCTGAGCTGGGACAGGAGCTGTGAGCTGGGACAGGAGCTGTGAGCTGGGACAGGAGCCCTGAGCTGGGACAGGAGCTGTGAGCTGGGACAGGAGCTGTGAGCTGGGACAGGAGCTGTGAGCTGGGACAGGAGCCCTGAGCTGGGACAGGAGCTGTGAGCTGGGACAGGAGCCCTGAGCTGGGACAGGAGCCCTGAGCTGGGACAGGAGCCCTGAGCTGGGACAGGAGCCCTGAGCTGGGACAGGAGCCCTGAGCTGGGACAGGAGCTGTGAGCTGGGACAGGAGCTGTGAGCTGGGACAGGAGCCCTGAGCTGGGACAGGAGCCCTGAGCTGGGACAGGAGCCCTGAGCTGGGACAGGAGCTGTGAGCTGGGACAGGAGCTGTGAGCTGGGACAGGAGCTGTGAGCTGGGACAGGAGCTGTGAGCTGGGACAGGAGCTGTGAGCTGGGACAGGAGCCCTGAGCTGGGACAGGAGCCCTGAGCTGGGACAGGAGCTGTGAGCTGGGACAGGAGCTGTGAGCTGGGACAGGAGCTGTGAGCTGGGACAGGAGCCCTGAGCTGGGACAGGAGCTGTGAGCTGGGACAGGAGCTGTGAGCTGGGACAGGAGCTGTGAGCTGGGACAGGAGCTGTGAGCTGGGACAGGAGCTGTGAGCTGGGACAGGAGCTGTGAGCTGGGACAGGAGCCCTGAGCTGGGACAGGAGCTGTGAGCTGGGACAGGAGCTGTGAGCTGGGACAGGAGCCCTGAGCTGGGACAGGAGCCCTGAGCTGGGACAGGAGCTGTGAGCTGGGACAGGAGCTGTGAGCTGGGACAGGAGCCCTGAGCTGGGACAGGAGCCCTGAGCTGGGACAGGAGCCCTGAGCTGGGACAGGAGCCCTGAGCTGGGACAGGAGCCCTGAGCTGGGACAGGAGCTGTGAGCTGGGACAGGAGCCCTGAGCTGGGACAGGAGCCGTGAGCTGGGACAGGAGCCCTGAGCTGGGACAGGAGCTGTGAGCTGGGACAGGAGCTGTGAGCTGGGACAGGAGCTGTGAGCTGGGACAGGAGCTGTGAGCTGGGACAGGAGCTGTGAGCTGGGACAGGAGCCCTGAGCTGGGACAGGAGCTGTGAGCTGGGACAGGAGCTGTGAGCTGGGACAGGAGCTGTGAGCTGGGACAGGAGCCCTGAGCTGGGACAGGAGCTGTGAGCTGGGACAGGAGCCCTGAGCTGGGACAGGAGCTGTGAGCTGGGACAGGAGCTGTGAGCTGGGACAGGAGCTGTGAGCTGGGACAGGAGCTGTGAGCTGGGACAGGAGCTGTGAGCTGGGACAGGAGCTGTGAGCTGGGACAGGAGCTGTGAGCTGGGACAGGAGCTGTGAGCTGGGACAGGAGCTGTGAGCTGGGACAGGAGCCCTGAGCTGGGACAGGAGCTGTGAGCTGGGACAGGAGCCCTGAGCTGGGACAGGAGCCCTGAGCTGGGACAGGAGCCCTGAGCTGGGACAGGAGCCCTGAGCTGGGACAGGAGCCCTGAGCTGGGACAGGAGCTGTGAGCTGGGACAGGAGCTGTGAGCTGGGACAGGAGCCCTGAGCTGGGACAGGAGCTGTGAGCTGGGACAGGAGCCCTGAGCTGGGACAGGAGCCCTGAGCTGGGACAGGAGCCCTGAGCTGGGACAGGAGCCCTGAGCTGGGACAGGAGCCCTGAGCTGGGACAGGAGCCCTGAGCTGGGACAGGAGCCCTGAGCTGGGACAGGAGCTGTGAGCTGGGACAGGAGCTGTGAGCTGGGACAGGAGCTGTGAGCTGGGACAGGAGCCCTGAGCTGGGACAGGAGCTGTGAGCTGGGACAGGAGCCCTGAGCTGGGACAGGAGCCCTGAGCTGGGACAGGAGCCCTGAGCTGGGACAGGAGCCCTGAGCTGGGACAGGAGCTGTGAGCTGGGACAGGAGCTGTGAGCTGGGACAGGAGCTGTGAGCTGGGACAGGAGCTGTGAGCTGGGACAGGAGCTGTGAGCTGGGACAGGAGCTGTGAGCTGGGACAGGAGCTGTGAGCTGGGACAGGAGCTGTGAGCTGGGACAGGAGCTGTGAGCTGGGACAGGAGCTGTGAGCTGGGACAGGAGCCCTGAGCTGGGACAGGAGCTGTGAGCTGGGACAGGAGCCCTGAGCTGGGACAGGAGCTGTGAGCTGGGACAGGAGCTGTGAGCTGGGACAGGAGCCCTGAGCTGGGACAGGAGCTGTGAGCTGGGACAGGAGCTGTGAGCTGGGACAGGAGCTGTGAGCTGGGACAGGAGCTGTGAGCTGGGACAGGAGCCCTGAGCTGGGACAGGAGCCCTGAGCTGGGACAGGAGCTGTGAGCTGGGACAGGAGCTGTGAGCTGGGACAGGAGCTGTGAGCTGGGACAGGAGCCGTGAGCTGGGACAGGAGCTGTGAGCTGGGACAGGAGCTGTGAGCTGGGACAGGAGCTGTGAGCTGGGACAGGAGCCCTGAGCTGGGACAGGAGCCCTGAGCTGGGACAGGAGCCCTGAGCTGGGACAGGAGCTGTGAGCTGGGACAGGAGCTGTGAGCTGGGACAGGAGCTGTGAGCTGGGACAGGAGCTGTGAGCTGGGACAGGAGCTGTGAGCTGGGACAGGAGCTGTGAGCTGGGACAGGAGCTGTGAGCTGGGACAGGAGCTGTGAGCTGGGACAGGAGCTGTGAGCTGGGACAGGAGCTGTGAGCTGGGACAGGAGCCCTGAGCTGGGACAGGAGCTGTGAGCTGGGACAGGAGCTGTGAGCTGGGACAGGAGCCCTGAGCTGGGACAGGAGCCCTGAGCTGGGACAGGAGCTGTGAGCTGGGACAGGAGCCCTGAGCTGGGACAGGAGCTGTGAGCTGGGACAGGAGCCCTGAGCTGGGACAGGAGCTGTGAGCTGGGACAGGAGCTGTGAGCTGGGACAGGAGCCCTGAGCTGGGACAGGAGCTGTGAGCTGGGACAGGAGCTGTGAGCTGGGACAGGAGCTGTGAGCTGGGACAGGAGCCCTGAGCTGGGACAGGAGCTGTGAGCTGGGACAGGAGCCCTGAGCTGGGACAGGAGCTGTGAGCTGGGACAGGAGCTGTGAGCTGGGACAGGAGCCCTGAGCTGGGACAGGAGCTGTGAGCTGGGACAGAATCCATCACTAACACACTCTTTAGGTACAGCGATCTCTCACTAACACCCTGTCAGATCCCACAGCACTAACCCCAGTGCGGACAGCGGGGCCATGTCCGCCGGGCACAGTCCGGCTGTGTATCCTTTAGGAGATAACACCACAAAGTTCTCCATGGTTACGGAGCGGTTCTGTGTTCCCCTCAGGCACACCGCGGTCTGGGACGGGCCGGGCAGGCGCTGCCGAAGGGATCGCGGCTTATCGCGGGGAAAAGGGGTTATAAGCAGGGCAGGGAAGCTGTGGCGGTGCCGGAGGTACGGGGAATGACTCCCTGAGGGGATCCGGGCCCGGCGGGACTGACATTACCTGTGCGAGGCCGCCGTGAGGGGCGGCGGGGCAGGCCGGGGCCTCCGCCCCCAGGCTCGGCGGGGCGGGGCGGCGCTGCGGGCAGGGCAGGCGCTGTTGGCAGGGCAGCCCGGCGGGGCTGCGGCCGTGCCCGCGGTCCGGCGCTGCCCGTGCCCGTGCCCGTTCCGCCGTTTGCCGTTTGCCGCTCTCCGCTCGCTCCGCTCGGTGCCGCCGCCGCCGCCGACGCGTCCGGGCCGCCCGTGCCGCGCATGCGCCACATCCGGGTCCCGCGGCGCCTGCGCGGCGGCCCGAGGGGCGCGGGCGGGCGCGTTGTGTTTGTGGTTTGCGGGCGGCGCGCTGCGGCCAGCGGCGGGCGGGCGGGCGGGCGCTGAGATACCGGCGTTCCTGTGGGTCCCAATGGATCCCGGGATCCACAGTGATTCCAGGGGATCCCAGGGGATCCACAGTGATTCCAGGGGATCGACAGTGACCCAAGGGGATCCACAGTGATCCCAGGGGATCCACAGCGTGCCACGGAATCCCAGGGGATCCACGGTGATCCCAGGGTATCCACAGCGTGCCCCGGGATCCACAGTGATTCCAATGGATCCCACAGCGTGCCACGGGATCCCACGGGATCCACAGTGATCCCAGAGGATCCCACAGTGTTCCCAGGGGATCCCACAGCGTCCCACAGCGTCCCACGGGATCCCACAGCATCCCACAGGATCCCACGGGATCTCACATTATCCCACATGATGCCACTGGATCCGATGGGATCTCTGAGCATTCCACGGGATCCCACAGCATCCCACTGGGTCCCACTGGATCTCACTGGATCCCACTGGATTCCACAGCGTCCCACAGGATCCCACGGGATCTCACACGATCCCACTGGATCCCGCTGGATCCGATGGGATCTCGCAGTGTCCCACAGGATCCCACAGTGTCCCACTGGGTCCCACTGGATCCCACGAGATCCCACAGCATCCCACGGGATCCCACAGTGTCCAACAGGATCCCGCAGCATCCCACAGGATCCCACTGAATCTCACTGGATCCCACAGCATCCCACTGGATCCCACTGCATTCCACTGGATCCCACATTATTCTGCTGGATCCTGCTGGATCCGATGGGATCTCCCAGTGTCCCACTGGGTCCCACTGGATTCCGCTGGATCCCACAGGGTCCCACAGCACCCCACTGTGTCCCACTGGATCCCATGGGAACCCAGACCATCCCTCTGGGTCCCAGTGGATCCCACGGGATCCCAGACCATCCCACAGGATCCCGCTGGATGCGGGACACCCCCACAGAACCAGGAGTGCGGGCAGTGCCCCCTCCCCACCCTGCCAGCACCCCGGAGCTCTCCGGGACACGTCCCGACCTCCTGGGACACTCCAGGGATGGGATCCACCACCTCCCTGGGCAGTTCCAGTTCCTGAGCCCCTTTCCATGGGGAAATTCCTGCTGCTGCCCACCCTGAGCCTGCCCTGGCCCAGGCTGAGGCCGTTCCCTCTCCTCCTGTCCCTGTTCCCTGGGATGATCCGAAATCCCCCCGGCTGTCCCCTCCTGTGCGGGAATTCCAGAGAGGGAAAAGATCCCTCGGGATCCTCCTTTGCTCCAGGCTCAGCCCCTTCCCAGCTCCCTCAGGAACTTTCCAGCCCCTTCCCATCTCCCTCAGGAACTCTCCAGCCCCTTCCCAGCTCCCTCAGGAACTCTCCAGCCCCTTCCCAGCCCCTTCAGGGACTCTCCAGCCCCTTCCCAGCTCCCTCAGGAACTCTCCAGCCCCTTCCCAGCTCCCTCAGGAACTCTCCAGCCCCTTCCCAGCTCCCTCAGGAACTCTCCAGCCCCTTCCCAGCTCCCTCAGGAACTCTCCAGCCCCTTCCCAGGTCCCTCAGGAACTCTCCAGCCTCTTCCCAGCTCCCTTCAGGAACTCTCCAGCCCCTTCCCAGCTCCCTCAGGGATCCTCCCTAGATGGAATTGGAGTCGGAATGCACAGGGGCGGCTTCTCAAGGTTGTTGATTTTCTCTTACCTACATCGTTTTTTCTCCAGGGGCTGTTCTCTGTCCAGCAGGTCAGTCTGCACAGACTCCCCCCTTGGGGCGGTGTTTGTTTTATACCAAAACCTGCCTCTTCTTGTTTAAAATAACAATAAATTAGTTAAAATAACAGTAAATATAGTTTCTAGTATCTGTCATTTATGTTGGGAGTGTGTCTGTGCCTTAAACCAACAGAAAAGGAGAAGGAGAAGGAGAAGGAGAAGGAGAAGGAGAAAGAAGGAGAAGGAGAAGGAGAAGGAGAAGGAGAAGGAGAAGGAGAAGGAGAAGGAGAAGGAGAAGGAGAAGGAGAAGGAGAAGGAGAAGGAGAAGGAGAAGGAGAAGGAGAAGGAGAAGGAGAAGGAGAAGGAGAAGGAGAAGGAGAAGGAGAAGGAGAAGGAGAAGGAGAAGGAGAAGTGCTCCAACGCCACTGCCTCCAGCTGCCGATCACTGCGTTCCCATTATTAATAATAACAATGATAACAAAATAACATAATTAATAACATATTAATAATAACAATGATAACAAAAATAAACATAATTTAATTATGAATGCAAATGAACAATTCAGCATTAATAACACAAAATGCACTCGGCTGTCCCAGCGGCTCTGTGCCAAACCGCGGATTTCAGGCAGAGCCGGGCCAGTCCTGCCAGCTCGCCAGAACACACATTTCTGGAACCAAACCACGCCAGGTGAATAATTAACGCGCTGCTCCTTACAAACAAACGTAGAACAGAAAAAAAACAATAACAGCAACAAACAAATCAAACCTAAATCCCAAAAAACCCAAAAAATACCCCCACAACAACAACAAACTGCTGTCAAAAACCCTTCACATCTCCTTCCCTCTTCCTTCCTCCTTCCCACACCGTGAAAAGCTTCTTCTAAAAAGCAGTTTTAACAGGTCCTTCTGCTGGTAACAGCTAAAAAACCAAAAAGGAACTCAACTTAGAGGAACTCTTCCAGGAAGGCACAAGGACGTTTAAAACCTGTTATTCGAAGCTTAAAAATTATTTAAAAAGTCTTCCTTTACACGCCCAGAAGTTGTTAAAGCTCCAGAGTCTGTGTCTGCTGTCAGGGGAAACTCTCAGGCACATCTGGGTGAGTGCAGAGGAATTTTCCTCTCTGGAAATGAGCAAATAATTAATGGAATGATAAACTCATTGAGAAAAATGTAACACCAGGGTTGGGCTGTGTTTGGGTGTCACACCAGGGTTGGGCTGTTGATGGTGTAACACCAGGGTTGGGCTGTGTTTGGGTGTCACACCAGGGTTGGGCTGTGTTTGGGTGTAACACCAGGGTTGGGCTGTGTTTGGGTGTCACACCAGGGTTGGGCTGTTGATGGTGTAACACCAGGGTTGGGCTGTGTTTGGGTGTCACACCAGGGTTGGGCTGTGTTTGGGTGTCACACCAGGGTTGGGCTGTTGATGGTGTCACACCAGGGTTGGGCTGTGTTTGGGTGTCACACCAGGGGTTGGGCTGTTGATGGTGTCACACCAGGGTTGGGCTGTGTTTGGGTGTCACACCAGGGTTGGGCTGTGTTTGGGTGTAACACCAGGGTTGGGCTGTTGATGGTGTCACACCAGGGTTGGGCTGTGTTTGGGTGTCACACCAGGGTTGGGCTGTGTTTGGGTGTCACACCAGGGTTGGGCTGTTGATGGTGTCACACCAGGGTTGGGCTGTGTTTGGGTGTAACACCAGGGTTGGGCTGTGTTTGGGTGTCACACCAGGGTTGGGCTGTGTTTGGGTGTAACACCAGGGTTGGGCTGTTGATGGTGTCACACCAGGGTTGGGCTGTGTTTGGGTGTCACACCAGGGTTGGGCTGTGTTTGGGTGTCACACCAGGGTTGGGCTGTTGATGGTGTCACACCAGGGTTGGGCTGTTGATGGTGTCACACCAGGGTTGGGCTGTGTTTGGGTGTCACACCAGGGTTGGGCTGTGTTTGGGTGTCACACCAGGGTTGGGCTGTTGATGGTGTCACACCAGGGGTTGGGCTGTGTTTGGGTGTCACACCAGGGTTGGGCTGTGTTTGGGTGTAACACCAGGGTTGGGCTGTTGATGGTGTCACACCAGGGGTTGGGCTGTGTTTGGGTGTCACACCAGGGTTGGGCTGTGTTTGGGTGTCACACCAGGGTTGGGCTGTGTTTGGGTGTCACACCAGGGTTGGGCTGTGTTTGGGTGTCACACCAGGGTTGGGCTGTGTTTGGGTGTCACACCAGGGTTGGGCTGTGTTTGGGTGTAACACCAGGGTTGGGCTGTTGATGGTGTCACACCAGGGTTGGGCTGTTGATGGTGTCACACCAGGGTTGGGCTGTTGATGGTGTCACACCAGGGTTGGGCTGTGTTTGGGTGTAACACCAGGGTTGGGCTGTGTTTGGGTGTCACACCAGGGTTGGGCTGTTGATGGTGTCACACCAGGGTTGGGCTGTGTTTGGGTGTCACACCAGGGTTGGGCTGTGTTTGGGTGTCACACCAGGGTTGGGCTGTGTTTGGGTGTCACACCAGGGTTGGGCTGTGTTTGGGTGTCACACCAGGGTTGGGCTGTGTTTGGGTGTCACACCAGGGTTGGGCTGTGTTTGGGTGTCACACCAGGGTTGGGCTGTTGATGGTGTCACACCAGGGTTGGGCTGTGTTTGGGTGTCACACCAGGGTTGGGCTGTGTTTGGGTGTCACACCAGGGTTGGGCTGTTGATGGTGTCACACCAGGGTTGGGCTGTTGATGGTGTCACACCAGGGTTGGGCTGTTGATGGTGTCACACCAGGGTTGGGCTGTTGATGGTGTCACACCAGGGTTGGGCTGTGTTTGGGTGTCACACCAGGGTTGGGCTGTTGATGGTGTCACACCAGGGTTGGGCTGTTGATGGTGTCACACCAGGGTTGGGCTGTGTTTGGGTGTCACACCAGGGTTGGGCTGTGTTTGGGTGTCACACCAGGGTTGGGCTGTTGATGGTGTCACACCAGGGTTGGGCTGTTGATGGTGTCACACCAGGGTTGGGCTGTTGATGGTGTCACACCAGGGTTGGGCTGTGTTTGGGTGTCACACCAGGGTTGGGCTGTGTTTGGGTGTCACACCAGGGGTTGGGCTGTGTTTGGGTGTAAAACCAGGGTTTTGGCTGTTTGGGTGTAAAATCTTCAGGATTTTGGGTTTCTAAGTTAAAGTTTAGACTAAAACACAGGATTTGATGTGAGATTTTGAAAAGGTTTCTGAACTTAAATATTAAAATAAGAATGTGGATTTATAGTTTAAAGCATAGACGCATTAAGTAAAGATTAGACTTTTAAAACTTGAGATATAGAAAAAATAAAAGTAGTCATAAAAATAATAAAGAAATTTAAAATACAGTAATGGAAGATTGTGTGTTACAATTAACTAAAAAACTTTCACTGTAGCATGAATCTACTAGATAAAATATTCATATTATTGTCTTGTTGGCAGTTTTTTGTTAGTTAATTAATATTTAAGAGGTTTGTAACTAGAAGTCTTGTGACCTTCTGAACTATATTCTGAAGATGTGAGCTGAGCTCTCCTTTCTTACTTATGTAAAATATAAAAACAATAAACTGCCTCATCAAAAATGATTCAAAGGTCTCGTCTCAACTCAAAACTCCTCACAGCTCCAGCTCAGCAAATTCAGCTGGAATTTGGGTTTTTCCAGTTTGAACAGCTTCTGGTTTGAGGTGGGGAGGACAGGAGACAAAAGCAGGGTCTGCACGTCCTTTAACAGACGGAATAAAGTCACTGCAGAAGCAGGCTGAGCACGGGCAGGTGGAATTCCCCCTCGGGGGCATTTCTGCAGACACAAATCGGGATAATTTATCCTTTAAAACCCATTTGAGGGAAGGTTTAATACAGAGCACCTGCCTAGGGGCTTCCAGAGCGCGCTTCTCCGACGCTCCTGGGTGTGAAAATGCAGCGCTGATTGGATGGATTGAATTGCTAAGAGAAATTCACTTCTGACAGGAAACCTAAACTCTGTTTATTCCTGAGAAAACTTCATGTGCAGGTGGGGAATGAGAATGAGAAGAGCTCCTGCACCTGAGCACAGCGATGCCCCCAGCCACACCACTCGGCAGAGCTCTCAGAGCTTTATTAATTTAGGGACCACAAAAGCGTGAAATGGACTGTAGGGGTTGTAGAGAGCGGTGCAGTACGCCACATGGGTGAGAAATTTAGGGTTTAGGATTTTTAGTGTGTTATAGATGGGTTCAAGATGGAGGGTACAGGGTGTTGTCTCAAGTTCCTTTCTTCTCTCTTCTTCGGTTTGGGTATCTTGTAATTGGGTAAAAAAATCTGCATTCATTGGGATCTCTGTGGTCACAAAGTCCTCGTTTTTCACTTTTTCATTGGGATCTGATTTTAAAGTCCTTGTTTTTCATTGTTTCATTGGGATCTCCTTAAGAAGTCCTTGTTTTTCACTTTTTCATTGGGATCTGATTTTAAAGTCCGTGTTTTCCACTGTTTCATTGGGATCTCCTTATGAATCCTTGTTTCTCACTGTTTCACTGGGATCTCTGTGGTCACAAAGTCCTTGTTTTTCAGTTTCATTGGGATCTCCTTATGAATCCTTGTTTTTCATTGTTTCATCGGGATCTCTGTGGTCGCAAAGTCCTTGTTTTTCACTGTTTCACTGGGATCTCCTTATGAAGTCCTTGTTTTTCACTGTTTCACTGGGATCTCCTTATGAAGTCCTTGTTTTTCACCATTTCACTGGGATCACCTTATGAATCCTTGTTTTTTGATGTTTCATTGGGATCACCTTATGAATCCTTGTTTTTCACTGGGATCTCCTTATGAATCCTTGTTTTTCACTGTTTCATTGGGATCACCTTATGAAGTCCTTGTTTTTCACTGTTTCACTGGGATCTCCTTATGAATCCTTGTTTTCCACTGTTTCACTGGGATCTCCTTCTGAATCCTTGTTTTTCACTGTTTCATTGGGATCTCTGTGGTCACAAAGTCCTTGTTTTTCACTGTTTCATTGGGATCTGATTATAAAGTCCTTGTTTTTCACTGTTTCATTGGGATCTCTGTGGTCACAAAGTCCTTGTTTTTCACTGTTTCATTGGGATCTCCTTAAGAAGTCCTTGTTTTTCCCTTTTTCATTGGGATCTGATTTTAAAGTCCTTGTTTTTCACTGTTTCATTGGGATCTGATTATAAAGTCCTTGTTTTTCAGTTTCACTGGGATCTCTGTGGTCAAAAAGTCCTTGTTTTTCACCGTTTCACTGGGATCTCCTTCTGAATCCTCGTTTTTCACCGTTTCAGCGGTATCTCGATGGTCATGAAGTCCTCGGCCAGCGTCACCTCCTGTCCATCCAGCAGAGCCTCTGCCTGTTTCTTGAGCCGGCCGAGGTCGTCGGGCCCGTACCGCTGGCTGAAGTGGGTCAGCACCAGCCTGCGGGCGCGGCAGCACCGGGCGAACCGCGCGGCCGCGCCGGGCGTGCTGTGCCCGCGCTCCCGCGCCAGCTCCTGCATTCCGTCCTCCAGCGTGGCCTCGTGCACCAGCACGTCCGCCCCGCGGCACAGCCGCTCGGCCGCCGGCCCCACGGGCCCCGAGCAGTCGCCCAGCACGCAGACCTTCCTGCCGGGCACGGGCGCGCCCAGCACGTCGCCGGGACGCACCGTCGCGCCGCTCTCCAGGACGACGGCGGCGCCGCGCTTCAGCTGCCCGTACAAAGGGCCTGGCGGGACTCCTGGCAGGCAAAGTAAAGAGCCTGTAAGTGCTGCACTCACCATCTCGTTATACCAGTGTTGGCTTAAAAACACCGCTCCAGGTGTGCGGGACATAAAGCTGACGCACTGGAAAAAAGCACAACCTCACTATAAAAATCGACCGGTATTTCAGATGTTTTGTACAAATTGAGAGGTTGCAACCTGAGCAGGGAGTGTGTTTGAAGAAAATCATGGAATGCTAGAACGGCTGGGGTTGGAAGGCGCCTCAAAGTTCATCCTGCCATGGGCAGGGACACCTTCCACTGTCCTGGAGTGCTTCAGCCTGGGCTTGGACACTTCCAGGGATGGGGCAGCCACAGGGAAACTGCTCAGGGAAACTATATCAAAAAACCCCAATTATTCTGCTCCTGTTAAAATCAAGAAAATCATGCAAATACTGGCCATGTGTTTTCCTGGAGGCCACGGTGAGCTGTTTAAACTCTGGCACCTGAGATTGTCAGCTGTTCCCAGCTGTTCCCAGCATGAACACGGTCTGTGATACACCCTGGCACTGGTGCTACACACTGGCTCAGAGTGACAAAATGCCTTTGACAGAAAATGGAAAATTGAGTTAAAACAGGCTGCAGAGAGAGACAGCAGCTCTGATTTGCTAGAACACGTAGGAAGGTGGTCATAAAAGAAGTAAAAAGAGGAAAAATAAGCCAAAGTAGCTACCGAGGTCTTTCAGTTTCTGCACGTTGAGCTTCCCAGGCCGGGGCTTCTCTTCCAGCACGAAGCCGAAGGAGGGCACGCGGTGGAAGAGGCGGAACGCTCTCACCACCAGCTGCTCATCCTCCAGCAGCAGGTAGGAGTCTTCTCCTGGCTCCAGGTGCAGGACTCTCCCTGGAGGCGCCTGGGCAGGCGTCTCGCCTCGGTCCAAGCCCGAAAAGTCCCTGAATTCTTCCGGGGGACACTGGTCCCGCGTGGGGACCAGCTCGTGGACGGTGTAGGGGAAGAGGAGCTGGGAGTGGGACAGCTCCAGGCTCCTCCAGAGGAAGCTCCGCAGTCCCAGGGGCCCGTAAATATCCACGGGCGCTTTGCTGGCGTCGGGGCTGCTCTGGAGGCTGAGCGTGCACAGCAGTCCAGGAAGTCCGAAAATGTGGTCGCCGTGAAGGTGAGTGATGAAAATCTTGGTAATTCTGGCTGTGGAATGGAACAGGAAAAGACAAAGCCAGGAAAAGACAGGAAAATAAACATTGAAACAACTCAGAAACGATCCGCAGTTTGGCAAGTGTTTGAAATAAAGGGAGGGGGGAAATTAACACCAGTGCTTAACAAACAAATCCCAAACCAAAAGGTATTTCTTTCCCCCTGCACACCAGGAAGATTTTGGCCTGATATGCCAAGAAAAGGCTGCAGAGATGCAAGGTTTAGCTCCTTCTAAGCCAGGCAAGGAATGGGCCTGGCTGGTGACATCTGCATGAGAAATGCAGAGAAGTGCTGGGAAGCACTTGAGCTTAACTCTTACAGGAAAACTGTAGACTAACGAGGAACACAATGAGGAACTTTTGTTGCTCCTCCTTTTGACTCTAGCCCATGAAACGAACAAAATAATAAAAAAAAAAAAAACAGCATGCAGTTTTGATTTCAGAGCTTTTAAGAGGCAAGAGCCCCACCACTGCTGACTGGTTTAAAACAAGAGAGAAAATTGCTCTGTAAACGTCTGGGCTTTCTTTCGAGCCTGGGCTGTGTCTCCCCAGCTGGGTCCTGCCCTGGCTGGGTCTGAGGAGCCCAGAACACTCCCTCGTTGCAGACACACGTCCTTTAAGCAGGCTGCCTCTGTCTCCTCTGCTGAGCTCCCACACAGCCAGGCATTTCCTCCAGCACCTGCTGGGACTGAGCCACAGGAATGACAGGATCTCCTTCTTTTGTTTTAAGGTGAATTCAGGAGACAATTTCACAGAAATTACTTCTCCACCTACCTGTCCTTAAATTCCCTAACAGGTTTTGGAGGAGCAGGAGCTTGTGTTTGTTTATAACTGACAATTCATCTTCATTCCTTGGGAGACAGAAGCCAGCTCCTGCCACTGAGGACTGTGGAAGCACAGCGGGGTGAGACTTATTTCTGATTTATTTGCCAAAGGGTGAAAGTTCCCTCCAATCCACACAGCCTCGCTTGAAGAGAGACATTTACCCACGGGAAGGCTCACCGCAGGTTTATCTAGAGCCGCCTCCAGACAAACAAGAAACAAACCGTTCCTGTTTGCCGCTGCTCTGTGGGCTGCGCTGGCACTGCCAAGCCCGATAAATTAATTCAGTGTGTCTGCGGGAGGCAGCTCGCCACCACGGGGCGGTCAGAGCTGCCTGCCGAGCAGGTTGGGCAGCCCTGCAGTGGGGAACCTTCGCTGGGACCCCACCAAACCTCTCCTGTGCAGGTTGGGCAGCCCTGCTGTGGGGACACTTCGCTGGTGTCGGAATCTGTGGGTATTGATGATTCTGAGATTGTAGAAAGTCTCTGTCTGTCAGCCCCGCTGCCAAAGCAGAAGCCATAATTGGTCTGTGCTGTTTCAAGGTTGTTTATTCTGTTTATCTCTAACATGTTCTGCTGCCCTGCCGCAGCTCTGTCCTGCAGGGCAGCGTGTGGGGCTCTGCCCTCAGTGGGATGGTACAAACATTAAATACCACAAACTACCTGTGCTGGATTTACAATAACGTGCCAATATCTGTCACCTACGTTGGACAGTGTGTCCCCAGCCTGAACCAACAGAAAAATGCCAACACCACAGTGAAACATGGAGGGCATGAAGAAGGAGAAAAAGGACAAGGCACACCCAATTTCCTCCATCTTGTCCCCTTTGGACCCCTCATCTAGAATCCTAAAATTTTACTTTTGCACCCGTGCCACACTTAATTATTACTGATATCAAACACTCAGAGCTGGTAATTCACCCTGTAAGATTGAAAACTCTTTTCCATGGACAGAGATCACAGCCAGTGTCTCTGGGGGCTCTGTCCAGGGGGGTTCTGACCCCTGCCAGGGTCCCAGGGCAGCCAGAGGGAAGCCCTGGATTCCCACACACCAGGACCCTGCTGAACCTCTTCCCCACAGGTTGGGGCAGTCCTGCAGTGGGGACACTTCACTGGGACCCCACTGAACCTCTCCACGCCACCCGGACAGCACAGACCTGCTCGGAGGTGGCTCCTCATCAGCTGCGTCTGCGTCCCCTCGCCGCAGTCGAAGAGCCAGCAGTGCCCGTCCCGGCGCAGCAGCAGCGCCGAGGCGCCGCGGGCCGGGCACGGGAAGGCAGAGCCCGTGCCCAGGAAGGTGAGCTCCAGCGACATCCCGGCGGTGGCACCTGCAACACACACCAAGGCTGCGGGGATGGGACGCTCCAGGGCACGGCTGGAGCTGGGCCAGCAGGAAAAGCCTGGATTTGGGAAAGGTTCTCCCCCAGAGTGTGCTGGCACTGCCCAGGCTCCCCAGGGAATGGGCACTGCCAGAGCTCCAGGAGCCTTTGGACAGCGCTGCCAGGGAGGCACAGGGTGGGATTGTTGGGGGTCTGTGTGGGGCAGGATTGAGTGATCCTTGGGAGTCCCTTCTAGCCCTGTGATTCGATGTAATTATGCAGTGAAACCAACAAACATTTTTGTTTGAAGGCACCCTCCACAGTTCAGTGGGAGGATAAAACTCCCCTTCCCTTAAAACATAAAAGCAAAAGCTGCCTAGAGCAGGATAAGACTTTCAGACAACACATTCTTTACAAGTGGAGATTTCCTTCTTATGTCGCTGGAAGACTGCAAACGCACAGCCCAAGCCCGGATTTGCCGTGGCTGTCCCTGGATCCCCGGCAGTGCCCAAGGCCAGGCTGGATGGGGCTGGAATAGGCTGGGACAGCGGGAGGTGTCCCTGCCCCATGGCAGGGGTGGCACTGGATGGGCTTTGGGGTCCCTCTGACCCAAACCATTCTGGGATTCTGGAATTCCAACAGCAAGCACTCCCTTCTCAAACCATTCTGGGATTCTGGAATTCCAAAGTAAGCACTCCCTTCCCAAACCATTCTGGGATTCTGGAATTCCAAAAGCAAGCACTCTCTTCCCAAACCATTCTGGGATTTTGAAATTCCAAAAGCAAGCACTCTCTTCCCAAACCATTCCGGGATTCTGGAATTCCAAAATCAAGTACTCTCTTCCCAAACCATTCCGGGATTTTGAAATTCCAAAATTAGGCACTCTCTTCCCAAACCATTCCGGGATTCTGGAAATCCAAAACCAAGCACTTTCTTCCCAAACCATTCTGGGATTCTGGAATTCCAAAGGCAAGCACTCCCTTCCCAAACCATTCTGAGATTCTGGAATTCCAAAATCAAGCACTCCCTTCCCAAACCATTCCGGGATTCAGAATTCCAAAATGAAGCACTCTCTTCCCAAACCATTCTGGGATTCTGGAATTCCAAAAGCAAGCACTCTCTTCCCAAAGCAAGCACTCCCTTCCCAAACCATTCTGGGATTCTGGAACTCCAAAATCAAGCACTTTCTTCCCAAACCATTCCAGGATTCAGAATTCCAAAATCAATCGCTCCCTTCCCAAACCATTCTGGGATTTTGAAATTCCAAAATCAAGCACTCCCTTCCCAAACCTTTCCGGGATTCTGGAACTCCAAAATCAAACACTCTTCCCAAACCATTCCGGGATTCTGGAACTCCAAAATCAAACACTCTTCCCAAACCATTCCGGGATTCTGGAATTCCAAAAGCAAACTCTTTCCCCGCTGGGCCAGCAGGGAACACCAAGGTGCAACCTGCCCTTGGGCGAGCCGCGGTTCATGTCCACCTCAACCCAAAACATGGAAATAAACACTCCGCAAACGCTGATATTTGCATTTCCCTTTCCCCCTGTGTAAAATCACGGAATCCTACAAGAACTGAAGGGTTCGGGCTGGAAGTTACCTGGAAAACCGCCGCAATCCGACCTCCCGTTACCTGGAAAACCCCCGCAATCCAACCCCCCGTTACCTGGAAAACCCCCGCAATCCCACCTCCCTGACTTTCCCCGTGCCAGGGCCTGCCCAGGCTCACACCCAGCCATCCCAATTCCCAGGGAATTCCCAGCATTATTCCCTGTGTGCGGTCCCGGCCTGCCTGTCCCCAGCGCCCCTCAGAGCCCGCCCGGAGCGCCGTGAGGCGCGGCCCGTGAGGGCGGCCGGGCCGGGCCCCCTCAGCGAGCGCGGCCGGGCCCGGGGCACACGGCCCGGGATGAGGGCCCGGCTCTCTGTTCCCCGCTCCCCGGGGCTGGTTCGGGTCCCATCCCGCTCCCCGGGGCTGGTTCGGGTCCCATCCCGCTGCCGATCCGTTCCCGGTCCGGTCTCACCTCCTCTTCCCGCCCGGGCGGCGCGGCGGGGCGGGCCGGCAGCGAGAGGCCGCCCTGAGGGAAGGCGGGAACTGCCCCTCGGAGCGGCTGACGCGTCACAAAACGCCTCAAATTACACCTTAATTTACATTAAATGATAAATGTTGGGGCTGTACCCGAGTCAGGGCAGCCCCTGGGATCCACCCAGGCTGGGGATGAGCAGAGGGAGCAGCGCTGGGAGAAGGAGCTGGGGGTGCTGTGGGTGAGAGCTGGACCTGCCCCAGCCTGAACCCCCCTGCCCTGGGCTGATCCCCAGCGTGGGCAGCAGTGCAGGGGGTTCTGCCCCTCTGCCCCTGTGCTCAGGGCTGTTCCCCTGCACAAGAGAAGCTCCAGGGAGAGCTCAGAGCCCCTGCCAGGGCCTCAAGGGGCTCCAGGAGAGCTGCAGAGGGACTGGGGACAAGGCAGGCAGGGACAGCACACAGGGAATGGCTCCCAGTGCCAGAGGGCAGGGACAGATGGGATATTGGGAATTAGGAATTGCTGGCTGGGAGGGTGGGCAGGCCCTGGCACAGGGTGCCCAGAGCAGCTGTGGCTGTCCCTGGATCCCTGGAAATATCCAGGGCCAGGCTGGATGGGGCTTGGAGCAACCTGGGACAGTGGGAGGTGTCCCTGCACATGGCAGGAGATGGAACAGAACGAGCTTTAAGGTCCCTTGCAACTCAAACCATCCTCTGATTCCATGATTCTAGGAAAAGACCTTAGAGATCATCACATGTAACCATCTACAAAGCACCTTGGCAAAGGGACTTTTCCCAATCCTGGACAGATCAATCATTTTTCGTTTTGATTTGTTGGGTTTTTTTTAGTTTAAAAATCAGGTACAACTTAGGCAAAGGGAATGCATTTTACTAAGAAAATAGAAGACTAGAACACACATTTCAATAGAGTTACAACGTTATAAAGTAGGAAGAAACCCCAACCACTTCACATTTTACATACAGTTTTAGTTTCAGCTGGGCAGTGACCCTCCCAGGCACAGCCAACCCCGCACGGATCAGGCTGGAACTGTTCTCACAAGCGCCGCGGCAGGCTCACATCGATTTGCGTAAGGCCAGGTATGTTTAAGGTATAAACAAATGCAGATTACTTTGCTGTTTTGTTGACACAGCCGCCATCGTTTGCGCCGAGAGTATTTTTATTCCCGTTAGGAAGGATCTGGCTGGAGAATGGATGAGATGAAGCGGATGGAGCGCGGGGAGCTGGCGCGTGTCGGGGAGCAGGAGGTGCTGACAGAAGCTCCCTGTCCAGCTGCCGCGGTGCCAGGGGCGAGTCCTGCCATCCCCACGGAGAACGGGAAGCACGGGGAGGTTCAGCCGGACTGAAACCCGGGTGGGAGCTGTACAATAGTGATCCCCACTCTCCCACAGGAACAGTCGCCGCGGAGGGCCGCTACCCAGAAACTAAAAATTGTATCGTTCATCTTCGCGGGTACTACCGGAGTGAGACAGAGTTACTTTATCCCCGTAAAACAGCGTGCTGGAAACAACAGTACAAGAGGAAGGACACGCGCCGACCGCAGTTACGCACCGCTCTGCAGGTGAAGTGTCACTTGGTTTGAAGCTTGGGAAACGAACACAACGGATCAGGACGCACCACTGTCCACAAATGTAACCGAGAACTCGCGCCACGCTCACACTGAGGTGTTCAAAATGTATCGGACACGACATTTCAATCGTCTCCTCCCACCCCAGCAGAGGCTTCAGGGACACACAAACCTGTGCAACAGCTTTGAACAAAACCACAGTATTTTATAAAGAAAGGCTGTGCTTCCTTAGATACCTTCACACTCCTACAGGCTGCTGCCAAGAGGCTCAGTCCTGCTCCTGCTGATTTTAAGGAGCAAGGATTGGACAAATCCTGGAGAAGACTGACCTCAGCGAAGCTCCTGATCCTCTCAGAGGGGTTCTGCATACCCCAAGGAGACATGGAAGACAGTCTTTTATAAAATCATTTGGAGGGCAAGTCACGGGCGCTGTGTGACAAGCTACAACACCAAAGGTGGTCCTTTAGGTGACGTATTTTTGTAACTTACACTATGTAACGTGACAAAATGCATCCTGGTGACGCCTGTTTCCCTTTGCATACTGCCTAAGAGAATTTTCTGTACAGATAAAGACCAGTAAGGTTATTATTTTGAATAAAGCAGCCAACAGAAACAAATCATGTTAAGTAGAATATGAAAAAGGAAACTGGTTCCTTACTAGCCAGCAAGATTAGCAGTTGTAATTAGTTCAAGGATTAATTGTACCTGAAGGAAAACTGAACGTGAATCTAGGTATCTTAAAATTCTATGCATCAAAAAGAAATAATTCTGGAGAAGACTAAAGAGAGAGTGAAACAGACTTATAACTCCGTGAGCTGACGGGTGACCTGTAGCCAACAGGAAAAACAAGGGGGGCACACTGAAGGGAAAAATCCACCAGACCAGACCCCCAGCACACCCCAGGGCCGCTCCTGAGGGCCTGCAGCTCTGTTAGGGACTGCTTTTCCCGGGATTTCCTTCCAAGGGAAGCCGCTTCCCCAAGCTACAGCTTTTTCTGGGGGCTACCGGGGGCCCCTGGCTACGGACAGCAGCTGCAACCCTTGGAAACAAAACAGACTGAGGGGTGGGTGTGGATCCTTATTCCCTGTGATCACTCGCAGCTGGGACACGAGGTCGGTGCATTTTGGGTGCTTTTGTTACTCGTCTGCCTGACTGGCTGCGTGTGCTCCCAGTGCTCCGGAATCCAGTGGTGCAGAACTCCACTGGCACAACACAACAGGCTTCGGAAGGCAAAAATAACGCGTACATCGAATAAATAATTTCTTTCTCAGTAAGATCACTAATTTAAATACGATACAAACAAGGCATAGCAAAAATAGGCGAAAGAAAGCAATCTGTAAAAACATCCTATGTGTGTGTTGGTGACTTTTGTACATTCACCTGCAAGTGCGAGTTCCCACCCATGTGCACGCCAGCACTTGGCAGTGAAGCACTTCGAGCCCCACCACACAACACTTTTACCACAGTGTGAACACCACAGTTTTTTCCCCACATCACTCTTTTCTGTGTTTATATAATCAGTCTTCTTTCCCCACACAGGGGAAGCCTTCTCAACACCTTCTCAAAATCACACACGAGTCTTTTCGTGAGGACAAGGGGGTGCGAGGGAGACAGCAACCTGGCTTAGACAAAACAGAATCTTGAAAGAATTTAAAACTTAAGTAAAGATCCTTTGGTGCATCGTTTTGCTTAAAATCTCCTTGCAAAATCTCTAAAAAGATTTCCATCAATTACTTCAGGTCCTACTTCTACTAGATAAAATTTATTCTGCAACAGCACGTCTTTGTTGTTAAAAGCTATTAAGTGATTAGCACATTTTCAGGCTTCCCAAGGACAAAATTTGAACTAGCTCACATTTTTCCTGAGAACAGATTTCATGGAGTGATGAAAACAAAGCTGCAGACTTTGCTGCAGCCTCCACAGGTGTACATCTCGCTGCCCCTCAAGGAAACAGCAGCCAATGCCACAAGGATGTCTGGACATGGGCATCTTTAAACATTTCACAAAACAGAAGACCCATCAGACTCTTGAAGTTGTCTTTAACTGCCCTTTTGGTTTTTTTCTATGACAAGTGGTCTCCCTTGATGTCACAGCTAATCCAGTGTGACAACACTGGAACGATTAGAAGACTGATTATAAAAGGCAGAAATAAATAATTCTGGAGATCAGCAGAGATGAGAGAGCTACAGTTCATCATCAAACACATGCAGCTAAAATATCATCAACAGAATTCTTGCCTGTGGTGCTGGCTCTAAGCTAGAAATGTTGTAATTTAAATTAATTTTGGAAGGCTCTCTCATCCCTGTGGCAGATGCCATCATCCGTACAGTTTATCAGGTACTTGGGAGGAATCAGGTGAAAAACAGGGGCGATAAAAACCGACAAAAACAAAAAAAAAAAGGCAACGAAATGAGCACAAATAAATTAGAGGAGTCAAAGATGGTGGTTACAGTTGGTCTGAGGAGGGGATCCCTGCAGAGTAGGAGGTGCTGCCTGCGGAGCGGGCGCGGGGCTGCGTCAGTGCACCTTGGACTCGGGCCAGTCGTACACGTCCGGCATGAAGGACTCGTACTCGTAGGTCCAGACCTTGGAGCGGATGTAGCGGTTCTTGTCGGCCGGCTCGGGGTAGTGGAAGGCCATGTTGTTGGCGTACAGGAACTCCATCACCTAAGGAGGGAACAGCACTGTTGCCTTTATTTCCACCCGGCCCCCGGCCCCGTGGGTGGCCGGTGGTGAGCGGCGCACGCCGCTGCCCTGGCGTCTCTGCCGAGATTACCAGGTAGCCGTGAGCTCGCTGCTATGGGAACCCAGAGCTTCCCTCTGGCTGCCCTGGGACCCTGGCAGGGGTCAGAACCCCCCTGGACAGAGCCCTGAGAGACACTGGCTGTGATCTCTGTCCATGGAAAAGAGTTTTCAATCTTACAGGATCAATTACCAGCTCTGAGTGTTTGATATCAGTAATAATTAAGTGTGGCATGGGTGCAAAAGTAAAATTTTAGGATTCTAGATTAGGGGTTCAGAGGGGACAAGATGGAGGAAATTGGGTGTGTCTTGTCCTTTTTCTCCTTCTTCATGCCCTCCATGTTTCACTGTGGTGTTGGCATTTTTCTGTTGGTTCAGGCTGGGGACACACTGTCCAACGTGTGTGACAGATATTGGCACATTATTGTAAATCCAGCACAGGTAGTTTGTGGTATTTAATGTTTGTACCATCCCACTGAGGGCAGAGCCCCACACGCTGCCCTGCAGGACAGAGCTGCGGCAGGGCAGCAGAACATGTTAGAGATAAACAGAATAAACAACCTTGAAACCAGCACAGACCAATTATGGCTTCTGCTTTGGCAGCGGGGCTGACAGACAGAGACTTTTACAATCTCAGAATCATCAATAGCACAGATTCCGACAATGCAGATGGAGAACTCCTCATATAATTAACTAAATTTTGTCAGCAGCACAGGAGCAGCAGTGCTGATGTGCCGAGAAGAAAACTTTGTAAGTTCAGATTCACAAAGCCTTTTGCCTTTCACGCTCAGGAGAACGTGCGTGCTGAACGGACCAGCTCTGGAACAGGCGAATCTGCCATCCTTGGGGGTACAACCGCAGATTTGCCAGGAGAAAGAAGCAGCAGAAAAGCTGCTGGCTGGCAAAGGGGTGTCAACCCGAGTAAATGATGCTTACAGCACCTAGATTAATGAAAAGATGTGTGCTTGCCTCGTGGGCAAAACAGAGCTGCCGGTCCAGGGACACACAGACAAAGGACAAAGCAGAGTTACCAGTGGAGCAATGCACGACTGTTGGGAAGGGTAGATAAATATGAATAAGAACCACAATAGTACAGCCAGGACGAATATAACGCCCCCTACTGGCTGGACAATACCCTTACCTACAGGGGGATCCAAAAGCCAAATGGACTGTTCCATCTCACCCCCCAGAATGTATGGTTCACCCCACACCTGTAACCCTCCCCTGAAACATCAGGTGTCTGTGACCCCATTGGCCCAAGTCTTGTTCCAACCCACCTTGGAGCCCCCATTGATAAGGGGTCTCCGGGGGACCGGACGCCCTCTTGGATCTTCCCCTCTCCTCCTGGAGCTTCCTCCAGGTGTCCCTGCTCCCCTTTTTGTCTCTCCCCTCCCCCATCACCTCAGGCCCAGCCACGTGCTGCTACACAGCTCGAGGCAGGGCCTTTCTGCATCCTGAATAAACCTCATCCCCCAAGAGCAACCAACAGAGATCTCGCTTGTATCCATCCGTGGAAAACCCAATAAGTGTCTTTACAGACTGGCGCCCAACGTGGGGCCATGCAGACCAAGGTAAGAATATATAAACAAAGCTTAGAATATATAAATATATAATATATAAACAAAGCTTAGAAGCACAATAAATGGCTTTTGCTCCTTTGTCTTCTCTCCTCAGCACCTCCGTGTCTTTATATCGCCACACGGCTTAGATGGGATCTCAGAACTGAGTTTCAGGAATCAGAGGAGTGTGATTTTGGCCCATCGTGGCTGCCAAGCTGAAGCACACAACAAAGGGAAGGTTTTTATGCGCTTCTCTTATTGCAGGCACAAAGAACTGGGTGTTGCCCAAGCACCTCATATTCAAGGGTCACACTGCGCAACTCAGCAGGTTAATGTACACATAAACCACTTCTAGCGCAGTGCAATTTTATATTTCATACTCACCTTGACAGCAATATAAATAGAAACTTCCCTGATATTGGACAGCGGAGGATAAAGTCTTCCTTGGGCAAGCTCTTCATCTGTCAACTGCTCTGCCAAAGCCTGAGTCAGGGAGACAAACACTTTTAATTTGCTGCACCGCAAACGTGACTAACAACAGGCCAGAAGACCTGAGAGAAGCACCAGAGTGCTCCCAAAGCACCGGCGCGAGGCACTCAGGATCTCAACATTTTCCATCTGAGGAACGAGAATCAGCACGCTGTGACCGCAAGCATTTAGCAAAGCAAGCTCTGGTACTCTGGGGGATGAATCCCCCACAGCCCTGCTGCCACAGTCATTCACACAGGGACACACTTCCTACATCATCACAGCTGCAGTGGAACCTGAGTCGGGCTTCGTTTGATCAAAACACTTTTTCCCCTCCCATTGTGGAGGTGATAGTAAAAGGGTTTTTAAATCATGGGGATTTAGGGTTAAAAGGAAAAATAAGCTTAGTAGGCCCTGGAAAAATAAACACCCTAAGCACATGGAGAACTTGTACTTGCTAGAACTGCACCTGTGTGTCTAGTACATCATAAATGATATAATTGTTAGATGTGATGATTGTTTAGTAATTAAATATAATTACTGTTTAATCGTAAGAATAATCATGAGAAGCTGTGGTCAGGGACCTAAGAAAGATCACGAGAAACTCATGTCAATGTATACAATAGAACAATATAAGTTTAATAATTAATATGTAAATTATATAATGAGAGAATATAGAATAGGTTCAGCTCAAAAGCCATGTGGGAGTCAGATTTGGGTCTGGACCCTGATTCCAGAGCTCTCAATAACAGCACCTGCATGGAATCATATCCTGTGATTATTTGTGTTCCTAAACAATGTAAATTTAATAATTAATATGCAAATAAATATCAAAGGTATATAAGGATAGAATATAAAATAGGTTCAGCTCGAAATCCGTGTGGGAGTCAGATTTGGGGCTGCACCCCTGATTCCCAGAGCTCTCCATAAAAGCACCTGGAGATAATGATATCCCGTGATTATTTGTGTTCCTAAACAAGGTAAATTTAATAATTAATATGCAAATTAACATCGAAGTTATATCAGGATAGAATATAAAATAGGTTCAGCTCGAAAAACGTGCCGGAGTCAGATTTGGGTCTGCACCCCTGATTCCCAGAGCTCTCAATAAAAGCACCTTCAGGTAATGATATCCCGTGATTATTTGTGTTCCTAAACAATGTAAATTTAATAATTAATACGCAAATTAACATCGATGTTATATCAGGATAGACTGTAGAATAGGTTCAGCTCGAAAGCCGTGCCGGAGTCAAATTTGGGTCTGGACCCGATTCCCAGAGCTCTTAATAAAAGCACCTGCAGATAATGATATCCCATGATTATTTGTGTTCCTAAACAATGTAAATTTAATAATTAATATGCAAATTAACATTGAAGTTATATCAGGATAGAATATAAAACAGGTTCGGCTTGAAAGCCGTGTGGGAGTCAGATTTGGGTCTGGACCCCTGATTCCCAGAGCTCTCCATAAAAGCACCTGTAGATAATGATATCATGTGAGTATTTGTGTTCCGGAACGCTGACAGAAGGACAAGCCAACAGACACCAAACAGGAAACCACTGTGTTCCAGCAGGATTTGGGAAAAGTCACCCCTGCCATGTCAGGAGCCACAGGCTGCTCTGCCCCCAGACTCACCTTGGCAGCCTCCAGGAACACCTTGTCGCTGATGTGCCGGACGCTGCTGAGGATCACAGCCAGAGCCACGCCTGCAAGGACACCGCTGCCAGTCAGGGCCACGCGCTGTAAGCGCGCAGCCTGCTGCGAGGAGCTGCCAGCCACCTCAGCGTTACCCCTGAGAACCTCCCCGCAGCTTTCTGCACGCACCCACAGAGCCGTGGCACGGCTGGGATAAGGAATCTCCCCCAGCCCTGCCCCGGGCAGGGACACTGCCACACTCACAGCACTGGCCACAGCAGCGCTTCCAGAACGGGCTGGAGCTTTGCAGCTCGGGGAGGAAAGGGGAAGGCACAGAAACATCCCCAGTGCTACTTTCCTACACCCCTTGTGCAGATACAGCTTTAAGAACCACTGACTCTGAGAGTTAACACAACTTCAAGTGCATATTAACATCTGTTTTCTCCTTTCTGAAACGTAAACTTTAAGGCATTTAGAGATTTTGAGGAGCTAAGATTTTAGTTAGAAATAAGCCTTACTAGAGGTAATTAAAATAAGAATAATAAATGAGTAGGCCTTGATGAAGTTAGGAGTTAGTAGTTAACTAATAATTAATTGCTTGTCAGCACAATGTTTGGTTAGCTGGGTTTATAATGAAGAATATAGAAACTGATAAATAGCTTTTAGGAACATAAGACAATTGTGGCCTCCTCTGTTCTGAAACCAATTGAAGACAAGGAATGGGAGTTCTACCAAGAGTTCATTTGTCATATTTGCATTGAAAAGGTAGAAAGGTCAGAACGAGGAAGACTTCATTGACTTCCTCATTTTGGGACCCCTCCCCATGAAAGGGACACCGACCCATTTCAAGGGACAAACTACTCATGCTGAATGGATTTTGGGGTGATTAGCATAGGAAGTGAGGAATGGGATGTACCAAAATTATGAATATGCATTTGTATTTTGGGTATTCAATACTTGTATGGATAAAAAGACTCTGTAATCACCTGGAAGGGGCGGTGTGTATTTGGGAGCTATCCCGCACGCTGCCCGGCGTTGAATAAACATACACTTTCTAACTTTAAACTGTTAGAGAGTTTTTGTCCGTCACAGTTGGATATCGATACTAGATCAATATCCATATTGTTTTAATAAATCATTTCCTCCCCAAACAAGCAGCAGAACCACAATGCAGCAGCTTCCAAAGCCTTTAGTAACACCCTTTTGTTTTCTCAGCAGCATCCAGCTGTGTTTGCTCACTGTGCTGGCAGGTGCCCCACATCCAGCCTGAACTGACTGTCACCCAGCCACTCCTTTCCCCAGGCTCCCAAATGCGTGCTGCTTCACCAGCTGTGCCCCGCGCAGCGCAGGGAAAGGCGCAGGAAAGGTGCCGGCAGCCCAGTCGCAGAGGTCAGACTGGGACAGTTCCGTTTATTACCTGGGAAGATGTAAGCGTTGTTTCCTTGGCCTGGCTTGAAGGTCCTCCCGTCCTTCAGAGTGACCAGCTCGAAGGGGCTGCCGCTGGCAAACAGGCACCGGCCCTGCTGGGAGGAAGGGACACAGGGGGACATGGGGGGACATGGGGCACTGATCAGTTCTGCTCTGAGGAGAGGACATGGGGGGACACGGGGGACATGGGGCACTGATCGGCCCTGCTCCATGAGGGGACACCAGGGGACATGGGGGACATGAGGGGACACGGGGCACTGATCAGCCCTGCTACGAGCAGGGGACACAGGGGGACACGGGGCACTGATCAGTCCTGCTCCAGGAGGGGACACCAGGGGACACCAGGGGACATGGGGCACGGATCAGCCCTGCTCCGAGCAGGGGACACCAGGGGACATGGGGCATTGACCGGCCCTGCTCTGAGCAGGGGACACCAGGGGACACCAGGGGCACTGATCACCGGCTTGGAGGGACTGACACCTGCAGCCCAGCTGTGTTAACCCTTACCACACCACAGACCCACAGCGACCCTTAAAACTTCTCTTCATCCCCTGATATTCCATAAAAAAGTGCAAGCGAAAATCAGGCTGGTTCCCCTTCTAGTTGTGCTGCTGGCCTCCTTCAGCCACAGCTGGCAGCAGTTTTTGTAGGAGCAACGGGAATAAAAGATCAGTTTACGGGAATAAAAGATCAGTTTCTTACGGGAAAGTGTGGGGGCAGAGGGAGGAGCTGCTGTGTCAGACTGCTGCTTACCCTGCCTCTGAAAGGATTTCGATTAGCACTAAATATCAAACTCATCTGAGTGTGAACCACACCCTCTAGATAAATCACCCTCTTCCCAAACAGTAAAGCCACTGAAAGCAAAAAAAATCTTGGCTTTCTTTTGAGTAACAGGTTTAGGAGTGTCAGTTTAAAGCCTTTAAGGCTCCCCGGGACTGCCGTGTCTGAAAACAAATTGAAAACAAATTGCCGAAGAGGCTGAAGGCTCTGAGCTGTGTTCGGTGTCAGGGCATAGCCGCTGCAAGAGCCTTTCTGCGGAGGGAGCAGAGCAGATGGGTGCAGGAGAGGACAGGGCCTGTGGGAACCCAGGGCTTCCCTCTGGCTGCCCTGGGACCCTGGCAGGGGTCAGGAACCCCCCTGGACAGAGCCCCCAGAGACACTGGCTGTGATCTCTGTCCATGGAAAAGAGTTTTCAATCCTACAGGATGAATTACAAGCTCTGAGTGTTTGATAAGAGTAATAATTAAGTGTGACACGGGTGCAAAAGTAAAATTTTAGGTTTCTAGATGAGGGGTTCAGAGGGGACAAGATGGAGGAAATTGGGTGTGTCTTGTCCTTTTTCTCCTTCTTCATGCCCTCCATGTTTCACTGTGGTGTTGGCATTTTTCTGTTGGTTTAGGCTGGGGACACACTGTCCAACGTAGGTGACAGATATTGGCACGTTATTGTAAATCCAGCACAGGTAGTTTGTGGTATTTAATGTTTGTAACATCCCACTGAGGGCAGAGCCCCACACGCTGCCCTGCAGGACAGAGCTGCGGCAGGGCAGCAGAACATGTTAGAGATAAACAGAATAAACAACCTTGAAACCAGCACAGACCAATTATGGCTTCTGCTTTGGCAGCGGGGCTGAGAGACAGAGACTTTCTACAATCTCGGAATCATCAATACCCAAAGATTCCGACAAGGGCCAAAAGACAAAGGAATTTAACAGGCAGCAGAAGCCCTCAGAAAACACAGGAGCCTCGACAGGCTTTTTACAGGCGCTATCTAGTGGGAAAAATTGAGGAATGAAAGGTTAGAGATAGTGGATTTGTTTCTTTGTGCAGCATGAGATGTCACCCCAGCCAGAGTCGGGCTGTCCCCGAGGCCTGGGGACACGCGGGGTGACAGCTCTGATCCCCAACAACCCGACAAACTGCATTAGCTCGGCGACAAAGCGAGCCAAGCTGGAGAGTCCCACAGAACCACACCACAGCCACGGCTCTGAGTCCATTTTTTAGGTGACTGCTGCACCTTGAAGGGAAAATACATTCTGAAGGGCAAGCTGAGACACTTCAGAGAGCCAAAGAGCCGGGTGAAAACAAACAGCTGGGCTGCAGGAAAGCGTAAAGAGACATAAACATTACAGAATTTGTGAGTGAGGACCGGAACAAAACTAGACACATCCATTTGCTGACCAGCAGCACTAAATTTCCAACCAACCCATGTGTGTGAGTGACAGGCAACACCAGAATGGTCAATAAAGGGACAGCCAGGCCTTGGGGCTCAGCCCTGGCAAAGTCAGCCTCTTGCCTTAAAAATTCTCTTTGTCCTCTGATATTCCATAAGGAGTGCAAGCAAAAATTAGGCTGGATCCCCTCCTAATTGTGCTCCTGGCCTCCTTCAGCCACAGCTGGCAGCAGTTTTTGTATTTATTTATGCTGGCCGAAGTCTTGGCTGTATGGTTAACTCCTGTTTGGAATTTATATACTGAAACGCTGCCCAGCTCTGCAGGTTAATGCAAGATACCCCAGAGATATTAAACCACCTTAATTTAAAAGTGTGTCCAGGGCAGGGAACAGAGTGGGAAAGGGGCTGGAGCCCCAGGAGAGGCTGAGGGAGCTGGGAAGGGGCTGGAGAGTTCCTGAGGGAGCTGGGAAGGGGCTGAGGGAATTCCTGAGGGAGCTGGGAAGGGGCTGGAGGATCCCTGAGGGAGCTGGGAAGGGGCTGGAGAGTTCCTGAGGGAGCTGGGGAGGGGCTGGGGAATTCCTGAGGGAGCTGGGAAGGGGCTGGAGAGTTCCTGAGGGAGCTGGGAAGGGGCTGGAGAGTTCCTGAGGGAGCTGGGAAGGGAACAGATAATTCCTGAGGGAACTCGGAAGGGGCTGGAGAGTTCCTGAGGGAGCTGGGAATGTGGAATGTGGCACATGGGGTCAGTGCTGGGGAATGGTTGGACTCCATGGCCTTGGAAGGCTTTTCCAACCCAGGTGATGCTGCAGTGCAGAGATAAGGCACAGACTTTGTCCCGAGGCTGCTGCAGGACTCCCTGTGGGCTGGGATCTCTGCAGCAGGAATTCCCTGAGCTGGGAGCACCAGGAGCGTGGGAGGGAGTCCCGGGTGTCAGGCCTGGGCACAACAACCTGTATCCTCACACCCAGAGCTGTACCCTCACACCCAGAGCTGTACCCTCACACCCAGAGCTGTACCCTCACACCCAGAGCTGTACCTCACACCCCCCAGAGCTGTATCCTCACACCCAGAGCTGTACCTCACACCCCCCAGAGCTGTATCCTCACACCCAGAGCTGTATCCTCACACCCAGAGCTGTATCCTCACACCCAGAGCTGTACCTCACACCGAACGCTGTATCCTCACACCCAGAGCTGTACCCTCACACCCAGAGCCGTATCCTCACACCCAGGGCTGTATCCTCACACCAGAGCTGTATCCTCACACCCAGAGCTGTACCTCACACCCAGAGCTGTACCCTCACACCCAGAGCTGTACCTCACACCCAGAGCTGTACCCTCACACCCAGAGCTGTACCTCACACCACCCAGAGCTGTACCCTCACACCCAGAGCTGTACCTCACACCCAGAGCTGTATCCTCACACCCAGAGCTGTACCCTCACACCCAGAGCTGTACCCTCACACCCAGAGCTGTACCCTCACACCCAGAGCTGTATCCTCACACCCAGAGCTGTACCCTCACACCCAGAGCTGTATCCTCACACCCAGAGCTGTACCCTCACACTGAGAGCTGTACCTCACACCCAGAGCTGTACCCTCACACCCAGAGCTGTATCCTCATACCGAGAGCTGTACCCTCACACCCAGAGCTGTACCTCACACCCAGAGCTGTACCCTCACACCCAGAGCTGTATCCTCACACTGAGAGCTGTATCCTCACACCCAGAGCTGTACCTCACACCCAGAGCTGTACCCTCACACCCAGAGCTGTATCCTCACACTGAGAGCTGTACCCTCACACCCAGAGCTGTACCTCACACCCAGAGCTGTACCCTCACACCCAGAGCTGTACCCTCACACCCAGAGCTGTACCCTCACACTGAGAGCTGTATCCTCACACCCAGAGCTGTATCCTCACACCCAGAGCTGTACCTCACACCCAGAGCTGTACCCTCACACCCAGAGCTGTATCCTCACACCCAGAGCTGTACCTCACACTGAGAGCTGTACCCTCACACCCAGAGCTGTATCCTCACACCCAGAGCTGTACCCTCACACCCAGAGCTGTACCCTCACACTGAGAGCTGTATCCTCACACCCAGAGCTGTATCCTCACACCAGAGCTGTACCCTCACACTGAGAGCTGTACCTCACACCCAGAGCTGTACCCTCACACTGAGAGCTGTACCCTCACACCCAGAGCTGTACCCTCACACTGAGAGCTGTATCCTCACACCCAGAGCTGTATCCTCACACCAGACCTGTACCCTCACACTGAGAGCTGTACCCTCACACCCAGAGCTGTACCCTCACACCCAGAGCTGTACCCTCACACCCAGAGCTGTATCCTCACACCCAGAGCTGTACCTCACACCCAGAGCTGTATCCTCACACCCAGAGCTGTACCTCACACCCAGAGCTGTACCCTCACACCCAGAGCTGTATCCTCACACCCAGAGCTGTATCCTCACACTGAGAGCTGTACCCTCACACCCAGAGCTGTATCCTCACACCAGAGCTGTACCCTCACACCCAGAGCTGTACCTCACACCACCCAGAGCTGTATCCTCACACCCAGAGCTGTACCCTCACACCCAGAGCTGTATCTTCACACCCAGAGCTGTACCTCACACCCAGAGCTGTACCCTCACACTGAGAGCTGTATCCTCACACCCAGAGCTGTACCCTCACACCCAGAGCTGTATCCTCACACCCAGAGCTGTACCCTCACACTGAGAGCTGTACCCTCACACCCAGAGCTGTACCCTCACACCCAGAGCTGTACCTCACACCCAGAGCTGTATCCTCACACCCAGAGCTGTACCCTCACACCCAGAGCTGTACCTCACACCACCCAGAGCTGTATCCTCACACCCAGAGCTGTACCCTCACACCCAGAGCTGTACCTCACACCACCCAGAGCTGTACCTCACACCCAGAGCTGTACCTCACACCCAGAGCTGTATCCTCACACTGAGAGCTGTACCCTCACACCCCCCAGAGCTGTACCCTCATACCCAGAGCTGTACCCTCACACCCAGAGCTGTATCCTCACACCCAGAGCTGTATCCTCACACCCAGAGCTGTACCTCACACCCAGAGCTGTACCTCACACCCAGAGCTGTACCCTCACACCCAGAGCTGTACCCTCACACCCAGAGCTGTACCCTCACACCCAGAGCTGTACCCTCACACCCAGAGCTGTACCCTCACACCCAGAGCTGTATCCTCACACCCAGAGCTGTACCCTCACACCCAGAGCTGTACCTCACACCACCCAGAGCTGTATCCTCACACCCAGAGCTGTACCCTCACACCCAGAGCTGTACCCTCACACTGAGAGCTGTATCCTCACACCCAGAGCTGTATCCTCACACTGAGAGCTGTATCCTCACACCCAGAGCTGTACCCTCACACCCCCCAGAGCTGTACCCTCATACCCAGAGCTGTACCTCACACTGAGAGCTGTATCCTCACACCCAGAGCTGTACCCTCACACTGAGAGCTGTACCCTCACACCCAGAGCTGTACCCTCACACCCAGAGCTGTATCCTCACACCCAGAGCTGTACCCTCACACCCAGAGCTGTATCCTCACACCCAGAGCTGTACCCTCACACTGAGAGCTGTACCTCACACCCAGAGCTGTATCCTCACACCCAGAGCTGTATCTTCACACCCAGAGCTGTACCCTCACACCCAGAGCTGTACCCTCACACCCAGAGCTGTACCCTCACACCACCCAGAGCTGTACCCTCACACTGAGAGCTGTACCCTCACACCCAGAGCTGTATCTTCACACCCAGAGCTGTACCCTCACACCCAGAGCTGTACCCTCACACCCAGAGCTGTACCCTCACACCACCCAGAGCTGTATCCTCACACCCAGAGCTGTACCCTCACACCCAGAGCTGTACCCTCACACTGAGAGCTGTATCCTCACACCCAGAGCTGTATCCTCACACTGAGAGCTGTATCCTCACACCCAGAGCTGTATCCTCACACCCAGAGCTGTACCTCACACTGAGAGCTGTACCCTCACACCCAGAGCTGTATCCTCACACCCAGAGCTGTATCCTCACACCCAGAGCTGTACCCTCACACCCAGAGCTGTATCCTTACACTGAGAGCTGTACCCTCACACCCAGAGCTGTACCTCACACCCAGAGCTGTACCTCACACTGAGAGCTGTACCTCACACCCAGAGCTGTACCCTCACACCCAGAGCTGTACCCTCACACCCAGAGCTGTACCCTCACACCCAGAGCTGTATCCTCACACTGAGAGCTGTACCTCACACCCAGAGCTGTACCCTCACACCCAGAGCTGTACCTCACACCCAGAGCTGTACCCTCACACCCAGAGCTGTACCCTCACACCCAGAGCTGTACCCTCACACTGAGAGCTGTACCCTCACACCCAGAGCTGTACCCTCACACCCAGAGCTGTACCCTCACACCCAGAGCTGTACCCTCACACCCAGAGCTGTACCCTCACACCCAGAGCTGTACCCTCACACTGAGAGCTGTATCCTCACACCCAGAGCTGTACCCTCACACCCAGAGCTGTACCTCACACCCAGAGCTGTACCCTCACACCCAGAGCTGTACCCTCACACCCAGAGCTGTATCCTCACACTGAGAGCTGTACCCTCACACCCAGAGCTGTATCCTCACACCCAGAGCTGTACCCTCACACCCAGAGCTGTATCCTCACACCCAGAGCTGTATCTTCACACCCAGAGCTGTACCTCACACTGAGAGCTGTACCCTCACACCCAGAGCTGTACCCTCACACCCAGAGCTGTACCCTCACACCCAGAGCTGTATCCTCACACTGAGAGCTGTACCTCACACCCAGAGCTGTATCTTCACACCCAGAGCTGTACCTCACACCCAGAGCTGTACCCTCACACTGAGAGCTGTATCCTCACTCCAGAGCTGTACCCTCACACCCAGAGCTGTACCCTCACACCGAACGCTGTATCCTCACACCCAGAGCTGTATCCTCACACCCAGAGCTGTACCCTCACACCCAGAGCTGTATCCTCACACCCAGAGCTGTATCCTCACTCCAGGAGCTGTACCCTCACACCCAGAGCTGTACCCTCACACCCAGAGCTGTACCCTCACACCCAGAGCTGTACCTCACACCCAGAGCTGTACCTCACACCCAGAGCTGTACCTCACACCCAGAGCTGTACCCTCACACCCAGAGCTGTACCCTCACACCCAGAGCTGTACCCTCACACCCAGAGCTGTACCCTCACACCACCCGAGACCAGGACCCCCAGAACGGCTGTACCCTCACACTCCCAGCGCTCACACACCTCTGTCGCGGTGTAGGCCTCCTCGGCCGTGCACTCGGCCTTGGCCGTGGGGTTGCTCAGCGCGAAGACGATGGGTCGCTCGTTGATGGAGGCCATGGCCCGGAGCACCTCCTGCGAGAAGAGACGGCCGGCCCCGGCAACTCCTGTGGGGCAGGGGCACGGATGTGGGGTCAGGGCCGGCAGCTGGGGCTGGGACAGCTGCCCCACTGCTCAGTGGGGCAGGGACAGCCGCCCCACATCCTCTCTGCTCTCTGCAGACAGCCAGAGCTGTAAGTAGGTACCTGCATGTGGGAACCCAGAGCTTCCCTCTGGCTGCCCTGGGACCCTGGCAGGGGTCAGGAACCCCCTGGACAGAGCCCCCAGAGACACTGGCTGTGATCTCTGTCCATGGAAAAGAGTTTTCAATCTTACAGGATGAATTACCAGCTCTGAGTGTTTGATATCAGTAATAATTAAGTGTGGCACGGGTGCAAAAGTAAAATTTTAGGATTCTAGATTAGGGGTTCAGAGGGGACAAGATGGAGGAAATTGGGTGTGTCTTGTCCTTTTTCTCCTTCTTCATGCCCTCCATGTTTCACTGTGGTGTTGGCATTTTTCTGTTGGTTTAGGCTGGGGACACACTGTCCAACGTAGGTGACAGATATTGGCACGTTATTGTAAATCCAGCACAGGTAGTTTGTGGTATTTAATGTTTGTAACATCCCACTGAGGAGTGTTACATTGGCACGTTATTGTAAATATAGCACAGGTAGTTTTTAATATATAATCTTTGTAACATCCCACTGAGCGATGTTACATTGGCACGTTATTGTAAATATAGCACACATAGTTTTAAATATTTAATGTTTGTAACATCCCACTGAGGAGTGTTACATTGGCACGTTATTGTTATATTTACAATATAACACAGGTAGTTTCTAATATATAATGTTACATTGGCACGTTATTGTAAATCCAGCACAGGTAGTTTCTGGTATTTAATGTTTGTACCATCCCACTGAGGGCAGAGCCCCACACGCTGCCCTGCAGGACAGAGCTGCGGCAGGGCAGCAGAACATGTTAGAGATAAACAGAATAAACAACCTTGAAACAGCACAGACGAATTATGGCTTCTGCTTTGGCAGCGGGGCAGAAAGACAGAGTTTTTGCAATTTCGGAATCATCGATAGCACAGATTCCGACACCTGCAGATGTCAGTGACCTAAGAGCTGCTGCTGACCTGCAGCACAGAACTGCTGCTTCCGGGGCACCAAAGGTCAGGAAAGCCCCAAACAACTCGTGTCACGGAGCTCCTGTGGCAAACACAAAGCTGTGGCTGCCCTCTGCCACTGAGGACACAAGGAGCACCACAGCTCGGGTACCTTCAGGCAGAACTGACCTCCCATTCCACCAGCAAATGGTTGTCACCAAGTTTCCCAGAGCCAACTAAAGGCAGCAAACCCCAAATGACAGAGAAATAACCCGACTCACCGATGATAGCTGAAGGCCGCAGCACATTGACTGCCTCTCCAAAAGTCTTTGGTATGTGCTCTGGAGCCTGGTGTGTGAACGGCTCCTGGTTAGAATCCACCTTCTGCTCTCGGCCCTGCAGTCAAACAGCGGTTCCTGCCGTGAGGGGCTGGGGAAGGCAGTGCTCACCCTGCCTGGGGCTCCCAGCTGTGCTGAACCCCTACCTGCACCAGCAAGCCGTGCTTGTCAAACATCCATATCCTCCTGGAGGCCTCCTCGTAGGAAACGCCGCCCTCCATCATGGCCATGACGATGAGGTTGGCGATGCCCAGGGCGGCCTGGCGGGTGAAAGGACTGGGGTTTGTGCAGGTGGCACAAGAATCTGCCATCAAACCCTGTCAGGCAACTCCTTGAGGGTTCCCCTGGCAGGGGAAACCCTCCCAGAGCAGATGCACAGGACTTTTTCTGTCTTCAGCTTCTTGTTTTATTGTTATCTTATCGAAACTTCAGCACGCTGTCTGCCCCCAGACCTTGCATGCACAAAAACAGCACAAAAATGGCCAACAGCCTCGTGCTGCGAGGATTTTAAAGTCTAATCACAAACTAAACTACCCAATTAAGAAGTGGCACCTGGATTATTTCCCTTTCTAACCCAAAAACTGACCCCTAAATGCCCACAATGCAGATTTTCCTACCCAATCAAAAGATACCACCCAAACCCAAGAAGGAGGAAGAAGAAAGAAGGAACTTGAGACAACACCCTGTACCCTCCATCTTGTACATATCTTCAGTATGCTAAAAATCCTAAAACCTAAATTTCTCACCCATGTGGCATACTGGCCTTTTTAAGACTAATCACAAACTAAACTGCCCAATTAAGAAGTGACACCTGGATTATTTCCCTTTCTAACCAAATAAGTGACCCCTAAATGCCCACAATGCAGATTTTCCTACTCAATTACAAGATACCACCCAAACCCAAGGAGGAGGAAGAAGAAAGCAGAAAGGAACTCGAGACAACGCCCTGTACCCTCCATCTTGAACCCATCTATAACACACTAAAAATCCTAAAACCTAAATTTCTCACCCATGTGACGTACTGCACCACTCTCTACAATCCCTACAGTCCATGTCACGCTTTTGTGGTCTCTAGTTTACCTTGAGGCTGTGGATGTTTTCTCCATGAAGGAGGGTGGAGGTCAGTGTTTTCCTGGGAGCCAGAGCACCCCAGGGCAGACAGGGGGACATTCCCCATGCCCATCATCCCCACAAAACCCCTCAGAGCCTGGTCTGAGGCACAGAAGTGTTCCTGGCACAGCAGGGACACACCTGCAGGCAGCATGAGAGGGGCAGCTCTCCCGGGTGCTGTTCTCTGCCATCAGGGCCCTTATGCAGTGTGGGAACCCAGGGCTTCCCTCTGGCTGCCCTGGGACCCTGGCAGGGGTCAGAACCCCTCTGGACAGAGCCCCCAGAGACACTGTCTGTGATCTCTGTCCATGGAAAAGAGTTTTCAATCCTACAGGATGAATTACAAGCTTTGAGTGTTTGATAAGAGTAATAATTAAGTGTGGCACGGGTGCAAAAGTAAAATTTTAGGTTTCTAGATTAGGGGTTCAGAGGGGACAAGATGGAGAAATTTGGTGTGTTTTGTCCTTTTTCTCCTTCTTCATGCCCTCCATGTTTCACTGTGGTGTTGGCATTTTTCTGTTGGTTCAGGCTGGGGACACACTGTTCAACGTAGGTGACAGATATTGGCACGTTATTGTAAATCCAGCACAGGTAGTTTGTGGTATTTAATGTTTGTAACATCCCACTGAGGGCAGAGCCCCACACGCTGCCCTGCAGGACAGAGCTGCGGCAGGGCAGCAGAACATGTTAGAGATAAACAGAATAAACAACCTTGAAACAGCACAGACCAATTATGGCTTCTGCTTTGGCAGTGGGGCTGACAGACAGAGACTTTTTGCAATTTCGGAATCACCAATACCCACAGATTCTGACAATGCAGATGGAGAACTCCTCACATAATCAAGTAAATTTTGTCAGCACCGCAGGAGCAGCAGTGCTGATGTGCCGAGAAGCACCAGGTTCCTGCTACAAACTGAATCACCTCGCTGACAAAAACTCTTCCCTGCACTTCCCTCAGTGCCACAAAAACCAACAGGATGGTCCCACCACACCGTGGTTTTATGGTGAGTTTCCCGTCAAACACACACCAGTCCCCGGTGCTTTCTGCAAGGCCGTGCAGGGAAATAAAAAATGTGAGTCCCTGCAAATGTTAAACCCCTTTCACACAGCCCTGTTCAGGCAGAGTCCTTTCTGCTAATGCATTTCAGCTGGGCTCAGATGAGAAGGTGTGCAAAGGAATTCAGAGAAGGGAAATCTCCACAATGAGAAAACACACATTTTAGATGTCTCTGGGCCCTTAAGAGGACTCACCTCTCCCGCTCCGAGGAACAGCACTTTCTGGTCTGTGAGTGGCTTCCCCGTGGCTTTCTGTGCTGCCAGCAGCCCTGCCAAGGCCACCGAGGCTGTCCCTGTGGGAGCAGAGCAAACTGAGGCCAGCTGAGCACGAATACGCGGCAGGCTGGGGCTTTGGGAAAGCTCCTGCACGGATATTCGGGAGCACAAACAGCGGGCACACCTTGGATGTCGTCGTTGAAGGTGCAGTACTTCTCCCGGTACTTCCGCAGGAATCGGAAAGCGTTGTGGTTCCCAAAGTCTTCAAACTGGATGAGCGTGTTCTGGCCGTACCTGCAGGAGATGGCAGACACCCCCATTGCTGCACAGGGGCTGCACTGCTGCATTTCTGACCCACCGCTGCACAGGTGCATTTCTGACCCATCGCTGCACAGAGGCTGCACTGGTGCATTTCTGACCCACCACTGCACAGGTGCTGCACTGGCGCATTTCTGACCCATCACCACTGCACAGAGGCTGCACTGGTGCATTTCTGACCCACCGCTGCACAGAGGCTGCACTGGTGCATTTCTGACCCATCGCTGCACAGAGGCTGCACTGGTGCATTTCTGACCCATCACTGCACAGGGGCTGCACTGGTGCATTTCTGACCCACCACTGCACAGAGACAGAGGCTGCACTGGTGCATTTCTGACCCACCGCTGCACAGGGGCTGCACTGGTGCATTTCTGACCCATCACTGGACAGAGACAGAGGCTGCACTGGTGCATTTCTGACCCATCACTGCACACAGGCTGCACTGGTGCATTTCTGACCCATCACCACTGCACAGAGGCTGCACTGGTGCATTTCTGACCCACCGCTGCACAGAGGCTGCACTGGTGTATTTCTGACCCATCACTGGACAGAGACAGAGGCTGCACTGGTGCATTTCTGACCCATCACTGCACACAGGCTGCACTGGTGCATTTCTGACCCATCACCACTGCACAGAGGCTGCACTGGTGCATTTCTGACCCACCGCTGCACAGAGGCTGCACTGGTGTATTTCTGACCCATCACTGCACAGAGGCTGCACTGGTGCATTTCTGACCCACCACTGCACAGGGGCTGCACTGGTGCATTTCTGACCCACCACTGCACAGAGGCAGAGGCTGCACTGGTGCATTTCTGACCCATCACCGCTGCACAGAGGCTGCACTGGTGCATTTCTGACCCATCACCGCTGCACAGAGGCTGCACTGGTGCATTTCTGACCCACCACTGCACAGAGGCTGCACTGGTGCATTTCTGACCCACCACTGCACAGAGGCAGAGGCTGCACTGGTGCATTTCTGACCCATCACCGCTGCACAGAGGCTGCACTGGTGCATTTCTGACCCACCACTGCACACAGGCTGCACTGGTGCATTTCTGACCCACCACTGCACAGAGGCTGCACTGGTGCATTTCTGACCCATCACTGCACAGAGGCTGCACTGGTGCATTTTTGACCCGTCACTGCACAGAGATAGAGGCTGCACTGGTGCATTTCTGACCCATCACTGCACAGAGGCTGCACTGGTGCATTTCTGACCCATCGCTGCACAGAGGCTGCACTGGTGCATTTCTGACCCACCACTGCAGCCTGCCGGGGCCGCTGCGTGTCCCACCTGTCCGTGATGGCTTCCATGAACTCATCGATCAGGTCGTCGTAGACCTGCGAGCGGTCCCTCTTCTGGTACAGCCCCATGTAGAAGGGATCCTTCAGGAGCGTCTGCGAGGGACAAACCAGGCAGAGCGGGGCTGAGTCCCCAGGGCACACCCAGCAGCGCTGCACTCATGCAGCACCAGCCTGCATCCCTGTTCTTGCATTTCAGCTGGCACCGGGGCTGCTGGTGGATTTTGGAACAGCACAAATCAATGCTCTGAACAGTAAACCGCCCCAATAAACCTAATTCCCATTTCCAGCTTCTTAAAAGTCAGGTCAAGCTGACTATTTTGCAGTGCTCTGGCATTCCGTTACTACCAGATTCAGCCTTTCATGGACAAATCAATGGGAACTTTTAAATCACTGTGAAACGTAAACTTTAAGGCATTTAGAGATTTTGAGGAGCTAAGATTTTAGTTAGAAATAAGCCTTACTGGAGTTAATTAAAATAAGAATAATAAATGAGTAGGCCTTGATGAAGTTAGGAGTTAACTAATAATTAATTGCTTGTCAGCACAATGTTTGGTTAGCTGGGTTTATAATGAAGAATATAGAAACTGATAAATAGCTTTTAGGAACATAAGACAATTGTGGGCTCCTCTGTTCTGAAACCAATTGAAGACAAGGAATGGGAGTTCTACCAAGAGTTCATTTGTCATATTTGCATTGAAAAGGCAGAAAGGTCAGAATGAGGAAGACTTCATTGACTTCCTCATTTTGGGACCCCTCCCCATGAAAGGGACCACCGACCCATTTCAAGGGACAAACTACGCATGTTTAATAGCTTTTGGAGTGATTAGCATATGAAGCGGGGAATGGGATGTACTAAAATTATGAATATGTATTTGTATTTTGTGTATTCAATACTTGTATGGATAAAAAGACTCTGTAATCACCTGGAAGGTGTGGTGTGTATTTGGGCGCGATCCCACACACAATAAACACACACTTTCTAACTTTAAACTGTTAGAGAGTTTTTGTCTGTCACAGTTGGATATTGATACTAGATCAATATCCATATTTTTTTAATAAATCAACTGTACAGTGAACTCCAAACCATTTATCCTTTGCGCGAAATATTTAGGTTTATCTTAAATGAAAGTGCTCGGAAGACACCCCAACTCTGTTATTTAAAACAACCCCGTTTTCCTAGGGGTAACTCACTGTGTTATCAGTCCCGACGTCGATGCACACAGGCAGGCATTTATCCGGGTGTATCCCTGCACAGGCTGTGTACAAACACAGCTTTCCCACCGGAATTCCCATCCCGTACACCCCCAGGTCTCCAAGACCCAGGATTCTTTCTCCATCAGTGACGACAACAGCCTGATGGAAAAAAAAAGAAGAAAAAAAGGCAAAAAAAACCAACAAAGCAGGTCAAAATCATGCATGATCACTGAAATTTATAAAGATGAGATCAATGGCAGTTGTGTTTTCTTCCCAGGAAAAAATTGAGGTATGTTTGCACTGTCAAAAGAAGAACAAATCACGAGGAGTATTTTCCTCCACCCATAAACCTCATATTTAGGATGAAACACTGATCCTCAAGATATGCATTAACTTAACTAGCTGCACTCTGCCATCATCACTAAAGAGCCACGAATGCACTAATTAATATTCATGTTTCCATCAAATACTAGTAAATCTTAAAGGACTCAGCTGAGCTGGAATAACAACTAGAAACTGGATCACACCGTGACAATACCTTAACGTCGTTCTCTGGCCAGTTGTTCACAATTGACCTGATGTGGCCTCTGTCTGAGATGGAAATAAATAACCCCCTGAAAGGAAAAGAAACACAACCAAAACCACAAACCAGAAATATTTCTGTGGGTGACAATCAGAATTTTCACCTTGCTTTTGTAAAACTAAATGCCAAACAGGACAATTTAAAATTCGAAGTTTTACGTAACTTGACGTAAATTGCTCAAAGGACAATATCTGTTCCTACCTAGGGAAGGGAACCACCTGAACCACCCCTCTTGTACAGGGTGACACCGAGATGGGCCTGGGGAACCACCTGATCCATCCCTCTGTAGCAGGGTGACATCGAGATGGGCCTGGGGAACCACCTGAACCACCCCTCTGTAGCAGGGTGACACCGAGATGGGCCTGGGGAACCACCTGAACCACCCCTCCTGTACAGGGTGACACTGAGATGGGCCTGGGGAACCACCTGAACCACCCCTCTTGTACAGGGTGACACCGAGATGGGCCTGGGGAACCACCTGAACCACCTCCCTTGTACAGGGTGACACCGAGATGGGCCTGGGGAACCACCTGAACCACCCCTCTGTAGCAGGGTGACACCGAGATGGGCCTGGGGAACCACCTGAACCACCTTCCTTGTACAGGGTGACACCGAGATGGGCCTGGGGAACCACCTGAACCACCCCTGTGCAGCAGGGTGACACCGAGATGGGCCTGGGGAACCACCTGAACCATCCCTCTTGTACAGGGTGACACTGAGATGGGCCTGAGGAACCACCTGAACCACCCCTCCTGTACAGGGTGACACCGAGATGGGCCTGGGGAACCACCTGAACCACCCCTCTTGTACAGGGTGACACTGAGATGGGCCTGGGGAACCACCTGAACCACCCCTCTTGTACAGGGTGACACCGAGATGGGCCTGGGGAACCACCTGAACCACGTTCCTTGTACAGGGTGACACCGAGATGGGCCTGGGGAACCACCTGAACCACCCCTCTTGTACAGGGTGACAGCGAGATGGGTCTGGTGAACCACCTGAACCACCCCTCTGCAGCAGGGTGACACTGAGATGGGCCTGGGGAACCACCTGAACCACCCCTCTGTAGCAGGGTGACACCGAGATGGGTCTGGGGAACCACCTGAACCACCCCTCTTGTACAGGGTGACACCGAGATGGGCCTGGGGAACCACCTGAACCACCCCTCTGCAGCAGGGTGACACCGAGATGGGCCTGGGGAACCACCTGAACCACCTTCCTTGTACAGGGTGACACCGAGATGGGCCTGGGGAACCACCTGAACCACCCCTCTGCAGCAGGGTGACACCGAGATGGGCCTGGGGAACCACCTGAACCATCTAGGAGGAGCTGGAAATGGGGTTGAAGCCCTGCACTTGGAGCATTTACACAGCCAATCTCCACGTTTTGTTCCAAACATCCTGTTTCTCAATAAAATCTCTGCCCTGAGATATATTTTAACAAACTGTCACTGCCCTGACGTGGCACTGGGCTCGTGCAGCTGTGCCCTGATGAAAAGGACAGGGACCACTGGCAGAGCTTGAGGAGAGCGCAGAGAAAAGGACGATAAAAGCAGCAGCAGCAGCAGCACGGCGTGTTTGTGTGTGCTTACTTCGGCCTCCTGAAGATGTGCCCGTACTGGGAGCAGGCCAGGCCCACGGTTGGCGTGTACACGATGGGCATCAGCCGCTCGATGTCGTCCTGCAGCACCCTGTAGAACAGCTTCTCGTTCCTCTCCTGGATCCCCATGATGTAGATGTACCTGCAATTCATCAGCACGAGGGAAAAGCACCTCTTGCTGCCTCCCACTCCTGCTGGCTTCCCCGGGAAAGAGCCCTCCCTTCCAGGCAGGAGCACCACGGGGGAGGTGGGGAGGAGAGCAGCGGTGCTGAAGGTGAGACTGTGGGAATCCAGGAATTCCCTCTGGCTGCCTTGGGACCCTGGCAGGGTCAGAACCCCCCTGTACAGAGCCCCCAGAGACACTGGCTGTGATCTCTGTCCATGGAAAAGAGTTTTCAATCTTACAGGATGAATTACCAGCTCTGAGTGTTTTATATAAGTAATAATTAAGTGTGGCACGGGTGCAAAAGTAAAATTTTAGGATTCTAGATGAGGGGTCCAAAGGGGACAAGATGGAGGAAATTGGGTGTGCCTTGTCCTTTTTCTCCTTCTTCATGCCCTCCATGTTTCACTGTGGTGTTGGCATTTTTCTGTTGGTTCAGGCTGGGGACACACTGTCCAACGTAGGTGACAGATATTGGCACGTTATTGTAAATCCAGCACAGGTAGTTTGTGGTATTTAATGTTTGTAACATCCCACTGAGGGGTGTTACATTGGCACGTTATTGTAAATATAGCACAGGTAGTTTCTGTATATAATGTTTGTAACATCCCACTGAGGGGTGTTACATTGGCACGTTATTGTAAATATAGCACACGTAGTTTTAAATATATAATGTTTGTAACATCCCACTGAGGGGTGTTACATTGGCACATTATTGTAAATCCAGCACAGGTAGTTTGTGGTATTTAATGTTTGTAACATCCCACTGAGGGATGTTTGGCAGCGGGGCTGAAAGACAGAGACTTTTTGCAATTTTGGAATCACCAATACCCACAGATTCCAACAGGGTGGGACTGCTGACAGGGCAATAATGCACAAATATCATTAAAGACAGCCCAGGGGGTGCTGCAGGATGCATCAGGGAGTCTCTGTAACTTGTAAACAAAATTACAGAGAAATAACTTTCCATCCTGAGGATGTGTGTTGTGAATCCCAACGCCAACACACACGTGCAGCAAGCTGAGCCCTACCTTCACCCTGAAGGACAGATGTGGGTGTGTAAATAAATCTGAATTCCTGCAGATTTACCCACAATTTACTGCGTACCAACCCATACTCAGTCCTGCTGACCCGAGGACACGATGATAACAAATTAACAATCTGGCCAACACGGGTGACACGACTGTTTTGGGCCAGCTAGTGAGATGTGGATTTAAGAACCATCTTTGAGTTCTGATGAGCACAAAAGAGCTTTGACGTGGGCTAGCGAGGCCCAAGCCACTCCAGCTCTCCCCCTGCCTGCAGCAAATTGTGTATTTTCACAGGCTGAGATACGTAAAGATTATGGGAGAACAGTAATGGGATGCTAAAAACGCGGTGCCCTGAAAATAAAACACAGCAAAACCCTTCGTGGTTCACCAAACCAGTGTGTTAAGTAATAAAAGATATTAAAAAAATACACATGACAAGACTTAAAATTATACTCTCATAGCTCCTTTTTAGCTGTATATGTTAAACACTGGTTTTGGTATCTCAAATGCTCATTTTACCTTCATTATCACACATTTTTGGAGATGGGGCTGAATGCCACCTCCTGTGCTCTAACAGCCTGCCACTCCATCTCACGTATCACAGAAATACGTGTCACAGACACAGGCAGGTTTGCAGCTTTGTTATTGATCTTCACACATTCTCTTTTGCTGTTTTATGAACGTGGAATATTAAAAAATAAAAGAAAAAGAGAAAAAAAAGAAAAAAAAAGCTTCCCAGCCTTATTTGACGGCAGGATGAAAGCAATTTTCTGTGCCAGAGTGAAAACAACACCCAAGGACTTAAAAACCCAGCGGAGGCACTAGAAACTTTGGTTACCCCCGCACAGTATTTTCACATTTCCACCTTATTCCCAGCCCCAAATATTCCTGTTCACTCCCACCGCAGGACAAGCACTTACTTCTCCAAGGGGTCAGTCATTTTTGCCAAATTCTTGTGGAAGCGTAAGGCCTGGATGTCTTGTGTCTCTATTTTGGGAGGGAGGAGTCCCTGCAGCCCCAGCATCTGTCGCTCGTGCAAGGTGAAGGCCATGCCCTGGAAACGAGAGTTTCCACCATCAGTTCTTCCCCCAGGAGCTCTCTCACTGCACCCTTTTCTCCAGCAGGGCTGGAACCTCTGCTGGGGTTCTCCTTGATTTTTGGGATTATTCCTTCCCACCACAGCCTGACCAGACCTTGCCAGAGTTAATTTTCCTCCGTGGAGCCGCAGAGAAGCAAAGAGTTAAAAGTGAAACGGGTTAAAAGTGAAATAACAGCTGCTTTTTTTTTTGTTTCACGTGGGTCATCCAGGCTGGTCCCTACAGCCACAGACAGGAACACTCAGATTTTTACCCAAATTGCTCCATTTGCTGCTTTTTTCAGTAATACAGCCTGATGCCCCTGATATTGCCCCAATGCTTCTGCGAAGATCACAGTCCAAACCAAACACTTCATTTTGAGAGAAATTCTAAGTGGGAGGAGATGATGGAGTGGCTTTTAGCTAAACTTTTTCTTGGTAGCCACAGACTGAAACCATCTTCTCCTCCAAAAGATGATTTTTATTTTAAGAGGATTGTATTTTAAGAGGTGAGCCAAAGAGATCATGCTTCAACTGAAAAAATACAGAAGTGGAGCAAACAGAGAAAAATTAGGAAAATTTGTAGTAGTGTCCCCTGTCTTCAAAAAAAAAAAACCAAACAAAGAAGATCTCTGTTCTTAGACTCTTGGCCCCAGGGGAGGAAGAAAATAAAGAAAATATGGTGGGGACTGTGGTCCCAAAAATGAAAAACTGAACTGCCTCTTGGCAGGGCACCCTTAAAAGGAAAAATCCTAAAAGCAGTCTGTCCATCCATGCATTAGGAGTAAAAGCACTGTGCATAAAAAAGAGATGCAAACTTTTTAAACTTTTTTCTCCGGGCGGTGCCATGTGTGCCATGGAAACACAGGATGTGGCAGCTGTGTTTCTCACACAAGAAAACCTCCTCTCTCCCTCAATAAAATGTCAATTATCTAAAAATTAAAAACCTAATTAGAGTCCAGGTTATGGCTCGCTATAATTTATTAGATATGTAGTGAGAAGAAAAATGCTTTAGAGTGTTTTCATTTTAAATTTTGTGTGTTTTTTTTCCTCCCCATCTTTTTTCCTTTTATAATAATATAGTGCTAATAGCTTAATAAAGTTTTTTTCCCCTGTTATTAAGCTTAGGCCTGCTTTGCTCTGTTCTCGATCGCATTTCACAGCATTCAATTAAAATATTATATTTTCATGGGGGCACTGGCATTGTGCCATCGTCAAACCGTAACAGGGACGGATCTAACCCATTTGTCTACCCCCAAAAAACCTCACTGGCAGCAAAGAGTCCAACTGCAAAAACCTCCCACTCTTCTCCATTTGGGAGATGGAGAGTGGACAGAGTTTAAATTTATTGTTATTTGAACACCAACTCAAATCATTTCTCAACCTTCAGATTCTTACTGCCAAGTGGGGAAAAAAAAAATAAATAAAAGCTTTCTAAGGTTTGCCTTATGCCTTGTAATTACACTCCAAACTCCTCCTGCCATCAGAAAGGTCAGAGAATCAGATGATCCTTGTGGAAGGGACCCACAAGGATCGTCCGTGTTCAACTCCTCGACTGACGTGAAAAAAAAAATCAGTACTTTTCCACTCGACAGTAAAGGCATCAATTCAGATCAGAATACAAATATTTTCACCTCTGCTTGTGTGAGAACAGACTCTTCACAAGTATTTAACAAAAATTTCTGAAAATAGTACAGCTGTAGTGTAATTCATCATACCTGGATGGTTTCTAAACAATAGTCCTTAGAAAGAAAAATCCTGTTGTTAAAATAATTACTATTTTTACATTATTTTTCTCTTTTCTATTCAGGTCATATTTAATATCAGTTGTTTTGACGACATTGACTAAAGCATTCCATCTGCTTTTCTGCACTCATTCTACACTGTGCTCTGTAGTAATTAAATACTTGAAGAGCTAGAAATCAAGAAAAAAACAACAACCCAAACCCAAAAACTTTACTGTTTTGCCCTTTTGCAGAAAACTCCACGTATTTAGCCCTAAAATGAACCTGTTTTTCTCTGTATTTGATTTCATGTCTGCCAACCTTTCATGTAATAGATTTGACACTAAATACTGATTTCAATTTAACCTTTTACTACTAGGACAGCAGAGTTTTTCTACAGGAAGTCAGAAGTCACTTGCAAACCACTGTTTTTTTTCCCAGTCTCGTTGCTGTTCTCCCAATTCTAAACACAAATTGTATTCTCCCAATTCTAAATACAAATACATTTCAGATGACAGTTCATTCCTCCAGTTTTTAACCTTGCTGCTGTTTCTTTTTCATTTGTTTGTTTGTTTGTTGGTTGGTTGGTTGGTTTTTTTGTGGGGTTTTTTTGTTGGTTTTGTGGGGTTTTTTTGGGTTTGGTTTGGTTGGTTTTGGTTTTTTGTTGTTTTTTTTTTTTTTATCAGGTACAACAATCACTTTACCACTTAAATGGTATTTTTTTTCAAACACTGCTCTGAATAATCCAACATTTCCACGAAGAACACAAACTGACACGAGAGAAGAACCCACGGAAACACGCTCTGGGTGCCGCAGAGGCTTTTCCTGTGTTTGCAAAGGATGAGTTCCACTCCTGCCTGCTTCACAAGAAATATGAATCCTCTGGTGTGAGCAGAAATGCGTGCCCCACAGGAACTCCTCTCACTCCCTTCCCCTTTCCTCGCACCCTGGTTTGCTGCTGTCAGCAGTTTAGTACCCTTAAATACATTTAAATCCTTCCTAAAGCAGCCCTCTCCCACACAAACTGGTTGTGATAGCAAAAGGGTTTTAAAATCATGGGGATTTAGGGTTAAAAGGAAAAATAAGCTTAGTAGGCCCTGGAAAAATAAACACCCTAAGCACATGGAGAACTTGTACTTGCTAGAACTGCACCTGTGTAGCTAGTACATGATAATGATATAATTGTTAGATGTGATGATCGTTTAGTAATTAAATATAATTACTGTTTAATCATAAGAAGAATCATGAGAAGCTGTGGTCAGGGACCTAAGAAAGATCACGAGAAACTCATGTCAATGTACACAATACAACAATATAGGTTTAATAATTAATATGTAAGTTATATAACGAGAGAATATAAAATAGGTTCAGCTCGAAAGCCGTGTGGGAGTCAGATTTGGGGCTGCACCCCTGATTCCAGAGCTCTCAATAAAAGCACCTACATGGAATCATATCCTGTGATTATTTGTGTTCCTAAACAATGTAAATTTAATAATTAATATGCAAATAAACATCAAAGTTATATCAGGATAGAATATAGAACAGGTTCAGCTCGAAAGCCGTGTGGGAGTCAGATTTGGGTCTGCACCCCTGATTCCCAGAGCTCTCAATAAAAGCGCCTGCAGATAATGATATCCCGTGATTATTTGTGTTCCTAAACAATGTAAATTTAATAATTAATATGCAAATAAATATCAAAGGTATATAAGGATAGAATATAGAATAGGTTCAGCTCGAAAGCCATGTCAGAGTCAGATTTGGGTCTGCACCCCTGATTCCCAGAGCCCTCCATAAAAGCACCTGCAGATAATGATATCCCGTGATTATTTGTGTTCCGGAACGCTGACAGTTGACTGTGACTCCAGACACCACAGAAACAAAAACAGTGCCAAAACACTCCCAGTGTTTAGAGGAAGAAGAGGAAGGGAAGAAGCAGTTTAGTCTCTGTCAGCAAGGCCACTGGAGTTTACAGCCTGGTGCCACCCTGGCTGCACTGACATTTTACCCGAACCCGAGAGAAACACCTCGCTACCAAAACCTACATCCTCCCCTCCAGAAAGCCTCAAGTCCTGTGAAAACCACGACTGCCAAATTTATAATTTCTCTATTAGCATGACTCCAGAACATGGCTTTTTCCAACCTCACTGTAGAGTGGAACCTGTGCCCTTAAAAGACCTGGGTCCCCAGAAATGCCCAGGAGCCCTGAGCTTAGCTCCAAGCAGAACAGAGACCCATCTTTATTGGGTTTGTTCACACTCTTTCCTGTCTGTAGGGAACCCAGCTGTTCAGTGCCACAATAGCATCAAACAGGATGAATTTTTAAATGACACTAAGTAGTTTCAGCTGTTGATTTACATGACAATTACATCCTGCCACAGTCAGATGCTTTAAATTCTAGCTAGGCATGAATCAGCAATGAGAATGACATCAGTCTTCACACAGAAATTCAGACCAGGTTCAGTCCAGAGCAGCGAGATAAAAACCCCGGAGTCCTTCCAACACTTGCAGTATTTTGCTCATGACCGTGAGCTTGTTTTGGGTCTGGGTTCGGACGTGGATTTGGGATTGCCCACGCGGCGTCTCCCAGGATGGAGCTGCAGCATCACAGACTCAGCACCCATCCAGCTGCCCGTGAGCACAACCAGACACGGGACATCAGGGACACAGAAGAACCCAGACCTCAGGCACAAACTGCCCCAGCTTTCCCTGGATTAAGTGCTTAAGCTCTCCTCCAGCCTGGGATCGCTGTCGGCAGGCTGCTGTCCTTTCCCCAGCGCTCTGGGCTGACTTTCACTGCCCTCAGCCTCCTTGATCCTCTTCTCAGCTCACAACAAGCAGGGGTCACCTCCAGGGCAGCGGGACAAAGCAGGGAGCGCATCCCACAGTTAATTAATTAACACTCCACAGACACATCCACTGCCACAGAACCAACCTTGTGCTGGGAGGGGGAATGAAACCGCCACCGGAGTGAATGTCGATGCTATTTTAGTTAAGATCAGCTCACACTGAACACCCATGAACTTCAATCCACAAACTCTGGCACTGGGGCTCCATCACAAAAGCCCTCGGCTGCTATAAATACCAGCACACACAAATTCTAGCTGCCTGCCTCGCACGGAGCAGCCTGAGCGCTGCGAGCAGGATTTTTATAGCACCCCTGAGCAAGTAATTCTGAGAGGTTTCCAAGCAGAGAAGTAGTAGTGGTGGGAAGCCTTCCCCGCCTGCAGTCTTGCAGCCACATTTATGAGATTGTACTTTTAACCAACCATAATTGCTATCATATACAGCAAAAACCCCGACCAGGGCTCCTCACAAAGATGCACTCACAGTTTATACACAAACAGGCCACTGTTTGGAAAATTAGTTACTCATGAGATTTACAAAATGGTTTCTTTGTAAGTCCTCGTAATTGTTAGAACAGATGCAGCGGCGGAGCACGGCCTTTGAAGCAGCATCACAAACACGTTGAAAATAAAGTAGATTTTATGTTGGATTGTGGGCTGCTTCTCTTGACTTTGCTCCCTTGGGCTGAACACAAAGTTCACTATTGCACAAGATGCCTCCGCTGGAAATTAATAAAGTTCATTCATAAGAATCAAAGGTGCCTTTGCTATCTCTACCAGAGAATAAAACTTTATGAGAACATAAAATCTCCCCTGATTTCTTTCCTCCTTCATTTCCAAACTGGATTCTCTGCTCCTGCTCTCCTGAGGGGCATTAACCCCTCAACAACCACGCCCGGGCAGAGATTCAGACAAAGAGAGAAACTGAGAGTTTCTAGCCAGGCAGATGCCTGAGAAAGAGCTGGAGGGAATGCAAATAATTCTTAATCTCTTTTGTTTTTCACATTGTTTATTGTCGCCGTCGAGGCAGGATGGGAATGAGAAGACTCTGACTCCAAAGGCTGCTGAGAGTAAAACTCTGATTTATTCAAAATACACTGCTGTTTTATACAGAGCTTCACAAAGGTTAAATCCATTGGTCCTAAAGTGAAAACAACTCACAGCATTGGTGTACAGTGCTTGATGCATAGTGATAGAACTTAACTATAAACAGTGTGAAAACAAGAGAGATAAAGAATTATTTACATTCTTTCCCAGGCTTTTTGCCTGGCTAGAAACTCTCAGTTTCTTTCTTTGACTGAATCTGAGTCCCACAGTTTATAGTTAAGTTCCATCACTGTGCGTCAAGCACTGTACACCAATGGAGTGAATTGTTTTCACTTCAGAACCAATGGATTTTGTCCTTGCAAAGCTCTGTATAACAGAGAGGTGTATTTTGAATAAATCAGGGTTTTACTTTCACAGCCTTCTGAGTCTTCTCATTCCCGTGAGGCAGCAACAGCGCCCTTCCTCCCTCCGCCACCCCCAGCCCACAGGTGCTGGAGTACAACACCTGCGCCGAGGAAAACGAGGTTTGATACCCTCCCACCACCTCTGGCACCTGGTTACGGATTAAACAGCTCCACGTGCCCACATGCAATTCCTTCTGGAAGCAGATAAAACCTGCGGGCGCGTGGTCATGCTCCATCCAAGCATCCCTCCAAACCACCAGGGCAGGACACAGAGCCGTGGCGGGGCTTTGGGGTGGTGGTGTGCGCAGAGTTTCTGTCGTTTTCCTGCCTTCTTGGCAGGGGCACTGCGTATTCCATGCCCTGGCTGCTCAACCCAGCTGGCTAAGCCTAAACCTAAAACGTATTCAACTGAATGAAATGTGTCAAAAGCAGCACGGTGGGAAAGTAACACTGCTTTTAAATCCTCAAGCTCATACAATCCTTTCTTTGCACCCTCTCGTGCCATCCCTTTTATTTTGTCAAAACAGCTTTGACTTTGGTTGGGTTTTTCCTGTTTGTTTTTTTATTCTGAATCGGAAATGTACTCTTGGGTATTTCCCACAAGTCGGTGAGGTCATGCACAAGTTTGCTAAGAAAATCGTCTCTTCACACAAAGGTGAATTTATCGTGGTTCCTGGAAGTACTTTGGAAGCCGTGCATGAAAATAAACCGGGCTGAAACAGCTGTGAATGAACACATGAAACTGTGAGCAAAAATACGACATGTGAGAAGATGACCACCTGTATGAATGATATGATACTGGTAAAATTCCTCAGGATCAGTCTGGGATTACTAACCTTTAATGTTATGTTTCTTTAATGTTTCTTTAACATCTATCACCTATTTCCATGCACATACCTCCTGCCATTTCCAGGCACATACACACACACACACAAATATGTGCATATATAAATCCTAAAGATACCTGTAGAAGCCAAAATTTTGAGAGGCACTGTCAGTGCAGGAGGAGTTTTTGGACATCAGAAGGGATTTCCCCTTGGAAAGGGAGGTCGGGAATTGGAACTGCCCAGGGAGGTGCTGGAGGAAGGCCTGGACATGGCACGGAGAGCTCTGGGCTGGGTGACAAGGTGGGGATCGGCTGACAGCTTGGACTCGATGGCTGGGAGGGCTTTTCCAGCCTCAGGGATTCTGGAATTCCGTGACAACCTAACAATCCCGAGGAATGGGAAACGGGGTAATGGAATCCACAGCACAAAATACAATCACACCCTTCTTCACGACAACACCGAAACGCCCCACTAAAATAACCAGCTAAAGCACAGGAAGCGTCACCAACTACTCAGCCACAGATTTTCTGCGAGCCACAGAAAAGAAACACAGGGATAAAATTACAGGTCACGTATTTCCCGGGGAGACAAGAACACTCTGATGGCACTCCCCAGTCAGGGATCCTGCACTCGTGCATCACCTGCTCTGCGCTGGGAGAACAAACCCTGCACTGCACCGCATCCGTAAGGATTTAAAGGATTTAATTGCCAGCACTAAACCTCTGAGCCACCCTGACAGCGAACGCCTGAACACCTTGTGTCTGGCCTCCAAACACCAAACACTCCAAACAAACTCCAAAACAGCTGGTGCAGCTGCGGTGTCCTCCTGCAACGCACAGCCAAGGCTGGGTGAGAAAAGAAAAACAATTACAACAGGAAAACCTACTCCAGTTTGTGAGGGTTGGTTCCTGCCCCCGACGCTGTCCTTCTGCAGCTTGTTTTTGGGACACGTGCCTTAGGGGAAAACAAGTGTTCTGCAGAGTTGAGACAGGATGTAAAAATGAAATGTAATCAAGTAAGACATGATAACCTCAACAAGCTGACAGCAAGAAATAACACCCTTTATCTGCTTCTGTACATAGATAATATGTATATATAACCATACACACGTGAGGCCCAAGGGGTAAAGTACTCAGTGTGTTTCATAAATCATTTATGTCTTTGCTGAATATCCAAAATGCATTTCCACACAGATACCGCATCCAGCAGTATCACTCAGTGAGCTTCCTGATCCATTCCTACAGGCTGACACAGCAGAGACAAACTAATGCAGAATGTTACCTCTCACCAGTGTAACTTCTTGCAGGCATTAAAAAATTAAAAAAATCAATTGCCATTAACCAGAAGCTCCCTACTCCCTTCTATTCCTCAAGAAATAAAATTGTATTGTGCCCAGTCCAGCTGAGAATTCCATGGTTAAAAAAAAAAAAAGGAAAGATGTTACCACTAGAAAAACAGTAAGAAATGAGCTATTGTTCTTATTTCTGAATGCTATTGCATAATCAGCATTTGGAAAAGCTTACAGGGGTTGAAGTAATTTCCACTGGCATGCCGAAGTCTTTAGAGCCCTGAAAGTGTTGAGACAATCTGATCTTGACAAATCACAGCAATCTGCTCTTTCCCCCTTCCCTGACACAGCAATCTCAATTTCAGTTTTGCACTCAGCCAGTCTCTACCATCCACAGTTCTCTCCCCCTCTCTTCAGGCAGCCTGGACTCGTGCAGCATTAAGGCTGCACTCTGCTGTCCAGGGGGAAAGGGAAGGGTAAAATAACCCAGCCTCGCTGCTCAGGAAATGCCCGACACAGACAGGCAGATTTGCCACCCCTCCTGACCACTTTGGACATCTCGGATCAGCCACCAAAAGCCCTCACCTGATTTCTTGCCAGTTCTAATTTACACATTAATGGCTTCAAGGTTCTCGAAGGCCACTACAACTCCAGCGGAGAAAAGAAAAAAGAGGTTGAGGATGGGCAGTGGAAACAGTTTCGTGAAGGGAACAAAATGCTACTTTCTTATAAGTCTGCCTCAAAGCACGAAATTAACATGGAATCTCTACCTCCCAGGAAGCTCCCACCGAGGTTTATTTTTTTTTAATTTTTTTTTATTTTTTTTTTATTTTTTATTATCTTTCAGACTCTGCAGAGGGATGTTTCTTAGGTGATGTGGCTCAGCCCCAATGTGGGTCTCAGATTCAGTCAAAGAAAGAAACTGAGAGTTTCTAGCCAGGCAAAAAGCCTGGGAAACAATGTAAATAATTCTTTATCTCTCTTGTTTTCACATTGTTTATAGTTAAGTTCCATCACTGTGCATCAACCACTGTACACCAATGCTGTGAGTTGTTTTCACTTCATGACCAATGGAGTTGGTCCTTGCAAAGCTCTGTATAAAAGAGAGGTGTGTTTTGAATAAATTGGAGTTTTACTCTCAGCTGCCTTCTGAGTGAGAGTGTTCTCATTCCCGTCCTGCAGCCGGACAGACACACCGCAGCCGGACAGACGGACACACCAAATGGACAGACGCAGGCACCCACCTTGTTGGTGCGCGGGTTCAGCATCAGCGGCTTGCCCTTCTCCTTGGTGTGCAGGCCGTGCCGCGCCAGGGCGCAGGGCGCCGCGGCCGCGCGCAGTCGGGACAGCATCCTCCCTCCTCGGGGCACCTGGAAGGCAAAGGCAGCGTCAGGCACCTGGCAGAGCCCGCGGGCCGGCATCAGACTCGTTAAACTCCGCAAAGTGACATCCCAAAAGCGCCCCGTGGCAGCCAGGAGGGGAAAAGGAAGGGAGGGTTTGGAATGCTGAGAGCACAGAGTGGAGGCAGCGCTCCCTCGATGCTGCCTCACGCCGTTCTGGCACAGCCAAAATGCCAGCAGGGATTTTAGCTGTCCCACGGAATGGGCAGTGGCACAAATGCCTGCCAGGACAGCAGGTGCAGCCACAAAACCCCCGCTGAGACCCTCTGGAGCTCTCCAACATCGAAATCTCTGGGCCTGGACAACACAGCAGAGAAACTGTGTCTGTCAGCGTATTAAAACTCTGCCTCAACACAATGTGGAATTAAAATGGCCAAAAACTCCACTGAACTGTGGATTCCAGGCTTAGATTTCTACAATCCCAAACTTTAAAAATGGAGAGTTTATTTGCAGAGACAATATACCCTTTAAAGTAAAGGATGTTTCCCTAAAAGAATTAAAAACTGTTAGCATAACTCCAGTTCTGATCCTGACAGGTGTTAGCAACTCGTTTTACGCCATTATTGGTCACAAGCTCTTTGCAGGAGAAATTGCCATTTATCACGTGCTCGTACACGGCAGGACCAGCAGGGAATGTGCACTGGACTCATCTCCCAGAGGTTATTTCTCCAAGGCAGAGAGACAACGGGAAGCACACAGGACCTCGCCAGGACCGTGCTCTGTGCGGTGACGGACAGCCGGGGACAGGAGAGGGGACCCGGCACCCCCCAGCCCTGCTGCACACCCACAGCCCAGACAGGCAGGGACAGTAAACACGGCATGAGGCATTTTTAAGGAATGAAATGATGCATGGCTTGGATTTTTAATTTCTTCCAGATGGGAGACAAAATTGAATTAAGGAACAAAACTTCATTATCTTAAATATCGCCTGAATACTTAAGAAGATCTTTCTATAATCAAATTTGCACATAATCAGCTTTTAAGACGGCAGACTGGTCTTACAGGTTACAGACTGAGGATTTTCTTGTAAAGCTTTCCAAGCATTAAAAAAATACGGCAACATTTAACATTTTTCACCATCGGTTATGCCCAAGTTTCTCTTCTAGCCACTGTGAAGTGTAGAGGGAAGCTGCTCTGCATCCCTTCCTCTCAACCTTTACGTGTTTGTTTAGGCCTGTGAACGACAAAGCTCCCCTCAAAAGCCCAGTGTTGATTTGTTTTGGGGTAAACACCATAAATTTGCTGCTGTGGAGTGCGACAGGAGGCACGGGAGGAAGCCTTGCCAGCAGCACAAACAAAAGTTGCCTCGAACCTGCTCGTTCCTCCCCAAACCTGCCAGCGGTGGAGCGAGCACAGCTGGCCTGCCAGTGCTTGGGGAACCAGCATCAGACTGGGGAAATTAATTCTGCGCTGCAAAACGCATTAGTTTTGTGCTGCCTTTAGGATCAGCAAATTCAGCTTTGACCGGTTTTAGATCCGGTTGCCCATTTGTGGTTGCAGGTCCCTCTCCCCACGCAGGGGATCCCAAAAATGGGCTGTGACTCCAGTGTCAGAGCAAAGCCCATCCCAGAGTCCCATCAGCCTGGTGCCACCCAGGCGCCAAGCTGTCACCACCAAACACCTTAAACAAGGAACTAAAAAGCAGAACAAGCACCACACCCTACCGAACTCTAATTAAATTGAAATTACTTTGGTGCAATTACTGAGCATTTAAGAACCAAACAAGATTGTGGCCGAGAGTCACCTGAACTTGATCATTAGCTGTAGTCAATGAGGCAGAGGGGAAAAGACTTTTCAGAGGGACACAAATCTTGCTTGCTTCCCTATGTGCAAGAGACGAGACTTGCTCCTCTCCGAGGTGTCACACCAGCACCTAAAATTATTCTCTTGATGGAGGTATCTCAGATTCATAAAAGGGGAGAATCAAGTTTCATTTTCCACTGAGCCCTGTGTTTAGATCCGAGAGAGATGATCCCGGTTAATTTACATCCATCACAAAACCTGACTGGTCACTCAGCCCTGAGCTCTCCCTCCCCTGCTCTTATTGTTCCCTGTTTCTGTTTCCTCTCCCACCCTGCCCAGCTCCTCCATCTCCGGTTGTCACACACTTTTGAATGTGCTTTGGCAAGGGTTTGCCTCCACAACCCACCTTCACACGACGCGCCCTGACCCCAGAAAGCAGAAAACCCTTCTCCATGCCCACGCACGCTGCTCTGCGGGACTGCCAGCAGCTCTGCCTGCCCGGCCGTGGCTCTCGGTGCCCCACCCCAGCTCTGCTGCCCACCAGCCTTGTCCCCCCGGACTTGTGGGGAAGGACAAAGGGACACGAAGCTGCAGCTGGGGAGCCACGAGCATGGGTGTGTGGGAAAGGCCTCCAAAAGGTCCCCAAGCCAGCGCCCGGCTTGAAGGAGGTGGAGGGGCTGGATTGTGCATCTGCCCGGGGAGGCTTTAACTTGGCTCATGATGGTTTTGTAGGACACAGGCCAGGCTTGAGAGGGTGGCAGTGAAACCAGAAAAAACAGCAGAGATCACTTTGGCAGTAGAGGCTGACAGAGAATCCCAGAGTGGTTTGTGTGGGAAGGGCTTTAAAGCCCATCCAGTCCCACCCTGCCATGGGCAGGGACACCTTCCACTGTCCCAGGTGGCTCCAAGCCCCATCCAGCCTGGCCTGGGACACTTCCAGGGATCCAGGGACAGCCACAGCTGCTCTGGGCACCCTGTGCCAGGACCTGCCCACCCTCCCAGCCAGCAATTCCTAATTCCCAATATCCCATCTGTCCCTGCCCTCTGGCAGTGGGAGCCATTCCCTGTGTGCTGTCCCTGCCTGCCTTGTCCCCAGTCCCTCTGCAGCTCTCCTGGAGCCCCTTGAGGCCCTGGCAGGGGCTCTGAGCTCTCCCTGGAGCTTCTCTTGTGCAGGGGAACAGCCCCAGCTCTGCCAGGCTGGCTCCAGAGCAGAGGGGCTCCAGCCCTGGGGAAGGGATGTGAGCTGGGCGAAGAGCAGCACTGCCACGGTGTGAAAACACACACGGACTGTGAGGAGGAATTAGGATGAAAGCAGCAGAATTGAATGAGGAATAAACATAAATAAAATAACCAGGATCTCTGCTCTCCCTTCAGTGCTTGACAATGGTGACAACTACACAAGGCTCCAGACAACTGGGAGTTTTTGAGTTGCTGTGTCACAAATTAAGGGGATTAAATCAGTCAGCACAGCAGAACACAGCTCCCCACTGTGCCTTATCAGGAGGCATCTGCCCGGGTCAAACTAATTACCAATATGCACAAGCGCCCTTATCTGGGAGCAAATGTTCTGCTGCTCCAATTATGGATTTGTCAAATGGCAAAACCTACTTTCAAGGGAAAGGTTCGCCACGCTCTTAAAAGGCAGAACGAGGCTGGCCAGAGAGTCGGGAAGCTCTGAGTCAATTAAAGCAAGGCCAGCTTCAATTTCTGCCAGGCTGCCTGACCTGCGGGTCTCCCCTCGGTGCCAAGGAGTGTCAGCCCGGCACAACAACTCGTGCTGCATGACTCTGCAGTCTGCCTGCACCTTGCAGGGTGGGGGAACACAAGTGCATTTCCAGCGCTCCTCAACTCCTGTGTCACTCATTTCTTTCAGCCTTTCTTTCCTGTACAGAAACCCACCTGTGTTGAGGAGCTTTTTATTTTTTGTATTGACAAGCCGAAATCATTAATTCAAAGCCGTGGAGGTCCTACAGAACTTCCAATATTTTAGGCCTCAACCATTTTTAAGCCAACAGACATTGTCTCCTGTGCCCCCTCTGCGAGTCTGAACCACCTCAGCTCTGCAGTGGATGCACCATACACTTTATTATCTTTTTTTTTTTTTTTTCTTCAGTAATAAACAGCCCAGCCTGGCCCACCCAAGCGTGACACAAACCAGGCACACACTAGCTGGCTTCATCACTTCAGTAATGATAAAGGAGTCTAAAATTATTATATTAGGCAAGCACGGGCTATAAGTGTGTCTCCCCACGAGACTTCCACCTAAAGAAAGCAGCTCTCCCTGCACCCACCACCCTTCAGCAGGCCAAGGAGTCGCTTTTGCTCCAGAACAGAGCATCCCAGGAGGAAGGAGCAGAGGGCTGAAGAGGGGGGACGTGGTTCTGCACAGCAGCTCTGGCTCCCTGAGCTGGCCTCAGCAGCAAACAGCAGCAAAACTGTTTCAGGTTCCCTCCTGCAAAGCCCCGGGCCACACTGTTAAAGGACATTTCTAAGGCACCTTGAGATCTGCAGATTAAAAAGGAACAGTCATGGGCAGAAATTACTAATGAAGTGCTTGGCAGAGGCAGGCGGGTTATTTTGGAAGCAGATCTTTAGCATATCGGAATGACTTTTCTTCCCTTTCATTCTGAGGCAGCCAGCTCAACAGGAAGAAAAGTTAGGCGTGGAGCACCGGGGCAGAGTAAGCAAGCTCACTGGAGGCTGGAAACATTCACTAAACAAAGCACACTCAGGTGAACTCAGGTGAGAATGAGTTCAGAACACTTTCCAAAAAAGAGTATTTTGTCAATTAGTGCAATTTACAGTACTATCAGGCTTAGCAGAAAGTAGGGCTGAATTGTTTGGTATTGGAGTCTTGGTTGGCAGCAGTCAGCATCAGAGAGCTGCACTTTTATACATTTACTGACCTAAATATTCTGATTCTTAAGAACCAGGAAGTCCATTACTTTTGCTGTGGAAACCACAGCAGCAGTATTTTTGGCCAAGTCTGACAAAACCTACTGAAATTCTTGATTTATTTTAATTTGTGTAACTAGGAGGGCTACTGGTGGTAAAGGCAAGGACAAAGACCTTATCCTAAAAGCCCTCAGAGGTACTCCAGGAATACACAGGAATACTCACGCTCTGTTCTGGAGGAAGTGGCACGCCCCTGCGCTGGAGCTGTTCAACCCAGAAGCACAGATATTTTTTTTGGATACAGGTTGAGGAGCGGACAAGGATGTTCCCAACAACTGCTGCACTTACAAATGGGAATTCTTCCCGGGGAAGCAGCTCAGCACTGAGTGCAGAGAAGCCAAGCTCCTGGTAGCTCAGTGCAGGTGAAGAATATGTCTGACAACCTCTTACAAACCTCAGCTTGTGCTTTAAAATGAAATACCTCACCTGAATTACAGAAAAACCTGAGAACCTACCCATGCACCACGAGCTACCAGTGCTGCTTTGGTAGCAGGGAAGGTGCTGGCATCACTCGTAAAGATGAGCAGTTAATTAGTACACACTCAACCACGCGCTTTGACAGCTCCTGTCTTAGTTTGCAGAGCAAAAAGCTCCGAACCCTGCCTGCACTCAAGCTGCTGACTCACAGGATTATCAGAACTTCCCTCCTGCGAGTGTAACACACGGTTTCTTCTAAAATACAGGCTCAGGTTAAATTTCTACAGGTCTCATAGCGTTTAATGAGGCATTAGACACTGCTGGCTGCACACACACACGGGCCCACCAGCAGAGCTGCACATCCTGCCCAGCTCCTTCATTTGCCCACATGTAAATTACAGGCACACAGAAAACCTCCCTTTGACGAGCACTACTGTTTGGAATTACCAACACGAAGACACCAAATAATCGACATTTGGTGGTTTTCATCTAGCTTGGCTGCAAGACTGTCCGTCTCCACCCGAGCCTTTATCAGCGCGCTGTAAGTTTGGCTTGGTGTTTCTCCTGTTAATGAGGCGATTCTTGCCAAGACACGACGGGTGGCTCGGACAACACCCCTCAGTCAGTATTTTTCAGCGGAGCGTGAGGGAGCAGCCGTGAGGAGGCCAAACCCCAGCAGCAACTCCGGAGCAGCGGCGGCGCTTCCTGCTCCAAGGCCGCGCCAGCTGCTCCGCTCCTTTCAACTTTCACTCTCAGCCACACGGGGAAGGCAGGGCAGGTCGGGCCCGCGCGGTGGGCTCCGTTTGTCACCCTTCTGACAGGGGCAAACACAGCTTCCCCCGGCTCCTCCGCAGGGCCCGGCGCTGCCCCCGCCGCAGGCCGAGCCGCGGGCCCCGCAGCGCCCTGCGGCTGCTTCGGCACTGCCCCCGCGGGACACGGAGCATCCCGGGCGGGCTCCATCCCTCCCCGCGCCCCGGCGGCCTCCAGCCCCTCAGAACGGCCCGTAAACACGGGGTTATAAAGAGACAGAGAGAGAGAGAGAGAGGCCTGTGGTGCGCCGCCGCAGTTGTGTGGTTGTTACCAGAACGGGATCTGCCTCCTCCTGCGGCTGCTGCCCGCTGAGCGATGCCGGCCGAAGACCTGTTCCTACTGAGCGAGAGCAGCGCCCGCCCGCCGGAGCTGCGTCCGCCGCAGAATCCGCCACTGAATGGAGCCAACACCGAGGCGCCGGGGAGGGACACCCCGGGAGGCGGGCGTTGGCCGTGACTGACAGCTGAGATAGCCAATAGAAGAGCAAGAAGCTCGCAGGGGCGGCTGCGTTTGGCCAATGAACGCTTTATCCCGCCCCCGCAGGGGGGAGAGCGGGATGGGCGGGGCGGGAGCTGTCGCTCGTTGATTGGACGGGCGAGACAGCCAATCAGCGGCGAGGGGCGGGGCGAGGGGCGGGGCTGGGAATGGGAATGGGAATGGGAATGGGAAAAAGGGAATGGGAATGGGAATGGGAATGGGAATGGGAACGGGAATGGGAATGGGAATGGGAATGGGAATGGGGATGGGAATGGGAATGGGGAATGGGAATGGGAATGGGAAAAAGGGAATGGGAATGGGAATGGGATGGGAATGGGGAATGGGAATGGGAATGGGAAAAAGGGAATGGGAATGGGAATGGGATGGGAATGGGGAATGGGAATGGGAATGGGAATGGGAATGGGAATGGGAATGGGAATGGGAAAAAGGGAATGGGAATGGGAATGGGAATGGGAATGGGAATGGGAATGGGAATGGGAATGGGAAAAAGGGAATGGGAATGGGAATGGGATGGGAATGGGGAATGGGAATGGGAATGGGAATGGGAATGGGAATGGGAATGGGAATGGGAATGGGAATGGGATGGGAATGGGAATGGGAATGGGGATGGGAATGGGAATGGGAATGGGAATGGGAATGGGAATGGGAATGAAATGGGAATGGGAATGGGAATGGGAATGGGAATGGGAATGGGAATGGGAATGAAATGGGAATGGGAACGGGAACGGGGATGGGAATGGGAATGGGAATGGGAATGAAATGGGAGTGGGAATGGGAATGGGAACGGGAACGGGAATGGGGAATGGGAATGGGAATGGGAACGGGAACGGGAACGGGAATGGGAATGGGAATGGGAATGGGATTGGGAACGGGAACGGGAACGGGAATGGGAATGGGAATGGGAATGGGAATGGGAATGGGAACGGGAACGGGAATGGGAATGGGGATGGGAATGGGAATGGGAACGGGAACGGGAATGGGAATGGGAATGGGAATGGGAAATGGGAATGGAAATGGGAATGGAAATGGGAATGGGAATGGGAATGGGAATGGGAATGGGAGTGGGAATGTGAGTGTGATGGGAATGGGAATGGGAATGGGTATGGAAATGGGAGTGGGAATGGGAACGGGAACGGGAACGGGGATGGGAATGGGAATGGGAATGGGAATGGGAATGGGAATGGGAATGGGAACAGGATTGGGAATGGGAATGGGAATGGGAATGGGAATGGGAATGGGAATGGGAATGGGAGTGGGAATGTGAGTGTGATGGGAATGGGAACGGGAATGGGAATGGGAATGGGAATGGGAATGGGAATGGGAATGGGAGTGGGAATGTGAGTGTGATGGGAATGGGAATGGGAATGGGTATGGAAATGGGAGTGGGAATGGGAACGGGAACGGGAACGGGGATGGGAATGGGAATGGGAATGGGAATGGGAATGGGAATGGGAATGGGAACAGGATTGGGAATGGGAATGGGAATGGGAATGGGGATGGGAATGGGAATGGGAATGGGGATGGGAATGGGAATGGGGATGGGGACGGGAACGGGAATGGGAATGGGAACAGGAAAGGGAATGGCAATGGGAATGGGAATGTGAGGGGATGGGAGCGGGAATGGGAATGGGAATGGGACTGTGGATAGGTATATGAATGTGAGGGGATGGGAATGGGAACTGGAATGTGAGGGGATGGGAACTTTGGGAACGTAAGGGGGTGGGAATGGGGAATGGGAATGCTAATGGGGAATATGAGTAGATGGGAATGGGGAATGTGGGGGGATGGAGAATGGGAATAGGGAATGTGAAGGGCTGGGGAATGGGAATGTGCAGCGTGAAAGGGTGGGGGATGGGAAATGGGATGGGATGGGGAATGGGAGTGGGAAACCTGAGGGCACAGGATCCATGAGGGCTTGGAAAGCATAAGAAGATGGAGGTCTGTGGGGGGACCAGGCTGTGAGTTCCGTGTGGCCCTCAGGACCGTGGGGACCGTGGCTCCACAGGGACATCCCGCTGGGGAGGAGGCTGAGTGGGTGTCGGAATCTGCGGGTATTGATGATTCCGAGATTGTAGAAAGTCTCTGTCTGTCAGCCCCGCTGCCAAAGCAGAAGCCATAATTGGTCTGTGCTGTTTCAAGGTTGTTTATTCTGTTTATCTCTAACATGTTCTGCTGCCCTGCCCCAGCTCTGTCCTGCAGGGCAGCGTGTGGGGCTCTGCCCTCAGTGGGATGGTACAAACATTAAATACCACAAACTACCTGTGCTGGATTTACAATAACGTGCCAATATCTGTCACCTACGTTGGACAGTGTGTCCCCAGCCTAAACCAACAGAAAAATGCCAACACCACAGTGAAACATGGAGGGCATGAAGAAGGAGAAAAAGGACAAGACACACCCAATTTCCTCCATCTTGTCCCCTTTGGACCCCTGATCTAGAAACCTAAAATTTTACTTTTGCACCCGTGCCACACTTAATTATTACTGATATCAAACACTCAAAGCTGGTAATTCATCCTGTAAGATTGAAAACTCTTTTCCATGGACAGAGATCACAGCCAGTGTCTCTGGGGGCTCTGTCCAGGGGGGTTCTGACCCCTGCCAGGGTCCCAGGGCAGCCAGAGGGAAGCCCTGGGTTCCCACAAGTGGGAAAGGAAAAGCAGGAGTGGTGACAGAGACGTGGGGTCACTCCACACAGAGTTCCTTGTGGCCACTTGGAAATGGGGTCACTCCACACAGGTTCCTTGTGGAAGCCGCTCCCAGTGGCCAGGCCACCGAGCTGGATGCCCTGCTTGGAATTGGGCTCCTCAAAACCCGCAGGGCCACAGCGCTGAGGCAAGCCCTGCCTGGGCCTGGAGGGCCGGGTTGCCCTTGGACTCAAACAGAAGGCTTGGCAGAAGTCAAGGAGACAGCTAGGACTGCAGGTCAGCGCTGAAAATGCAGCAGAAAAGAGCAAAAACGTCACTTCTCACAATAAAACTCAGCTGCTTGTCCTCAGAATGGTCTCACCTCGGCGGAACTGACGGCACAGAGTTTAAAGAGGGAAGGTACAGGGCATGAAACGTGACAGCCCCGCTCATCCCAGCCTTCATCTGCCTCCTCTCCTGCCCAAACTCAGATGTTTTCCAGAGCTGTAGATTTTGAGAATGTTAATCACAGAATCCTGGAATGGTTTGGGTTGGAAAAGACCTTAAATCTCATCCATGGCAGGGACACCTTCCACTGTCCCAGGCTGCTCCAAGCTTGTCCAGCCTGTCCTTGGGCACTTCCAGGGATCCAGGGACAGCCACAGCTGCTCTGGGCACCCTGTGCCAGGGCCTGCCCACCCTCCCAGCCAGCAATTCCCAATTCCCAACATCCCATCTCACTCTCCTCACTTTCTGTTAGAAAGAGAAAATTTTATTTTAACAAGAACTTCTGCTAAGCAAAAATTCCAATTCTCTGCCACCGTGCAGTTAAAAGCAGCAGAGTCACTATGGTAACGGTATCAGATATTTAAACCTACTTAATCAAAACCCCCTCTCCTAATTATAATTTTGAGGCCTGTCACGAAGAGCACGTTCAGCAGGACTGTGGCAGGTTAGGAACGTTTCTGAACAATGCTGCTGTGTGCCTGTAAAAAAAAGAGATCGAGAAAATAACAAGAAAAATAGAGGGAAAAATGAAGTTCTCAGCAGAGAGACAAAAAACAAAAAAATTGAGAAAAAAGAGAAAGTTCTCAGCAGAGAGACAAAAAACAATAAAAATTGAGAAAAAAGAGGAAGTTCTCAGCAGAGAGACAAAAAACAAGAAATATTGCGGAAAATAAGGAAGTTCTCCTCAGCAGAGAGATAAAAAACAAGAAAAATTGAGAAAAAAAAAGGAAGTTCTCAGCAGAGAGACAAAAAACTAGAAAAATTGAGAAAATAAGGAAGTTCTCAGCAGAGAGACAAAAACAAGAAAAATTGAGAAAGAAAAGGACGTTCTCAGCAGAGAGACAAAAAACAAGAAAAATTGAGGGAAAAAAGGAAGTTCTCAGCAGAGAGACAAAACCAAGAAAAATTGAGAAAAAAAAAGGAAGTTCTCAGCAGAGAGAAATAAAACAGGAAAAATTAAAGAAGAAAAGGAAGTTCTCAGCAGAGAGACAAAAAACAAGAAAAATTGAGAAAGAAAATGAAGTTCTCAGCAGAGAGACAAAAAACAAGAAAAATTGAGGGAAAAAAAGGAAGTTCTCAGCAGAGAGACAAAAAAAAGGAAAAACTGAGGAAGAAAAGGAAGTTCTCCTCAGCGAGACAAAAAACAAGAAAAATTGAGGAAGAAAAGGAAGTTCTCAGCAGAGTGACAAAAAAGAAAAATTGAGGAAAAAAAGGAAGTTCTCAGCAGAGAGACAAAATACAAGAAAAATTGAGAAAGAAAAGGAAGTTCTCAGCAGAGAGACAAAAAACAAGAAAAATTGAGGAAAAAAAGGAAGTTCTCAGCAAAGAGACAAAAAACAAGAAAAATTGAGAAAGAAAAGGGAAGTTCTCAGCAGAGAGACAAAAAAACAGGAAAAATTGAGGAAGAAAAGGAAGTTCTCAGCAGAGAGACAAAAAACAAGAAAAATTGAGGAAAGAAAAGGAAGTTCTCAGCAGAGAGACAAAAAACAAGAAAAATTGAGGAAAGAAAAGGAAGTTCTCAGCAGAGAGACAAAAAACAAGAAAAATTGAGAAAGAAAAGGAAGTTCTCAGTAGAGAGATAAAAAACAAAAGAAATTGAGGAAAAAAATGAAGTTCTCAGCAGAGAGACGAAAAACAAGAAAAATTGAGGAAAAAAAGGAAGTTCTCAGTAGAGAGACAAAAAAGAAAAATTGAGGAAAAAATGGAAGTTCTCAGCCGAGAGACAAAAAACAAGAAAAATTGAGGAAGAAAAGGAAGTTCTCAGCAGAGAGACAAAAACTAAGAAAAA